ACCAGACATCCTCACAGAAAGTCCTTGGATAGTGCTGATACAGACATTTTCCCATAGTTGGGAAGCATCCTGGTTAAGAATTAACAGTATGAGGTTTCTCTCCATTTTATCTACGGGGAAACTAAGGTCTGGGGAGGTCAAATGACTTGCCCAGGGCCATAGCAGGCAAGTGGGTCAGCCAACTTGGGTTCTGGTCCCACTTGCTACAGTGTGGCCTTGGTCACTCAGCCTCTGCAAGCCTCAGTTTCCTCACTTGGGAAATAGGATATTCATAGGAGCAACTTCACTGGGTGGCAGCGAGGACTAGATGGTATAATGTATGCACAATGCCTAGCAGAGTACTTGTCTGAGAAGTAGGCGCTCAGTAAATGCTCTCCCCCGTAAGTTGTATTCTGTGTGAACATATTCTTTTGTCCTTATAGTTTGCTTAACTGTTCCCCTGCTGTTGGGAATTTGGGATTTTACTTTTTCCTCAAACTATAATTATAATTCCATTGTATTGTTTTGTGTACTGGGCCAAACACTAGTATTGTTATACTCATTTTAACGTATAAGGAAACTGAGGCTCAGGGCTGTTAATATACAAAAAGAAAGATATCTGTATATAGGCATTGGAAAGGTGTCTGTAAGGTATGTTGGTAAATGAAAAAAGCAAGTTGCAGAACAACTTCTATAGTTTCTCATTTATGTGAAAAATTAAGGGGGCTGTGTTCATGCTTATAAATGCACAGGGGTAGTAGTAGATGCCATACTAAGTATTTTATATATAATCTCTCTTAATGCTCACAGTAGCTCTATGAGGAATGGATGCTTAGTGTTTTTAAATTGTCCACGATCACTCACACTTGCACCTAGGTCTCTCGAACTCCAACCCTGTGCACCTGATCCCTTCCACTGAAGTGTAGAGGTGGTGGTCCTAGCTGAAGCTGAAATGTATTATGTTCTTTCTATGCACCAGGCATTGTTGAAAGTATTTTGATATGTGGATTTGAAACTGGAGGGCCAGCGGGTCTGAAGTCTGCACTGGGGAGCTCACTCCTGAGTGGTGGATTAGGTGGATGGGTGGTTAGAGGCACTGTTTCCACTGCTGGGTGACCTGATCTGTGGACTTGTATTGGGTTCAGATGCTGAGGTTGGTGGGATTTGGGTTTAAGTATCCGGGTGACATAAAGAAGGGCACCTGGGGCAGTGGCTTGAGCTTTGCCTCTTCCTTTACCTAAGTGTATGGCCCTCTAGGCAGGGATCACTCCTAGAAGGGGAGCAGCTGTCCCCGTCCCTCTGTCATTTCTTTGGATTCATTTATTCTTTCCTGGTCACAATGTACCCTGTGAAGGTTGACATCCAAAGTTTTAAATTAACTAATACAGGATGTGGAATGAGGGCTATCATTGCTGATGTCAGATGGAGCTTGGCAGAAAGCAGAGAATACCAGAAAGATGTTTACCTGTGTTTTATTGACTATGCAAAGGCATTCAACTGTGTGGATCATAACAAATTATGGATAACATTCTGAAGAATGGGAACTCCAGAACACTTAATTGTGCTCATGAAGAACCTGTGTGTAAACCAAGAGGCAGTTGTTCAGACAGAACAAGAGGATACTGCATGGCTTAAAATCAGGAAAGGTGTGTGTCAGGGTTGTATCCTTTCACCATACTTATTCATTCTGTATGCTGGGCAAATAGTCTAAGAAGCTGGACTATATGGAGAAGAACGTGGCATCAGAGTTGAAATAAGACTCATTAACAACCTGCGATGTGCCGATGACATAGTCTTGCTTGCTGAAAGTGAGGGGGACTTGAAGCGCTTACTGATGAAGATCAAAGACTACAACCTTCAGTATGGATTACACGTTAGTGTAAAGAAAACAAAAACTGGACCAATAAGCAACATCGTGATAAACGGAGGAAATATTGAAGTTGTCAAAGATTTCATTTTACTGGAATCCACAGTCAATGCCCATGGAAGCAGCAGTCAAGAAATCAGATGACATTACAAGGAAAGTATTAGTCCAAAGGACTAATGGACCACATGAACCATAATCTCCACCATCCTGAGCCCAGAAGAACCAGATGGTGCTTGGCTACCACCACTGACCACTCTGACAGAGATCACAATAGAAGGTTCTGGACAGAGCAGGAGAAAAATGTAAAACAAAATTCAAATTCACAAAAAAAACCAGACTTACTGGTCTGACAGAGACAGGAGGAACCCCCGAGACTATGGCCCCCAGGCACCCTGCTAACTCAGAACTGAAGCCACTTCCAAACCACCTTTCACTCAAAGATTAGACAGGCTTATAAAACAAACAATAACACACGTGAGGAGTGTGCTTCTTAGTTCAATCAAGTATACCAAATGGGCAACACCTGCCCAAAAGCAAAGACAAGAAGGCTGGAAGGGACAGGAAAACTGGATGAATGGACATGGAGAACCCTGGGTGGAAAGGGGGAGAGTGCTGACACATTGTGGGGATTGCAACCAATGTCAAAAAACAATTTGTGTTTAAATTTGTGAATGAGAAATTAATTTGCACTGTAAACTTTCACCTAAAACAAAATTAAAAAGAAAAAAGAAATCAAACGACGTATTGCATTGGGTAAATCTGATGCAAAAGACTTCTTTACAGTGTTAAAAAAAAAAAGGCAAGGATATCACTTTGAGGACTAAGGTGAACCTGACCCAAGCCATGGTATATTCATTCGCCTCATATGCATACAAGAGCTGGACAATAAGGAAGACCGAAGAAGAATTGATGCCTTTGAATTATGGTGTTGGTGAAGAATATTGAATATACCATGGACTGCTAGAAGAGTAAACAAATCTGTCTTGGAAGAAGTACGGCCAGAGTGCTTCTTAGAAGCAAGGATGGTGAAACTTTGTCTCACGTACTTTGAACATGTTTTTGGGGGGCAACAGTCCCTGGGGAAAGACATCATGCTTGATAAAGTAGAGGGTCAGCGAGAAGGAGGAAGACCCTCAATAATATGGATTGGCACAGTGGCTGCAACAGTGGGCTCAAACTTAGCAACGATTGTGAAGATGGTGCAGGACTGTGGTGCTTCATTCTGTTGTACATGGTCACTGTGAGTTGGAACTGACTCGATGGCACCTAGCAACAACGATACAGGCTCCATCAAGCAGTCATCTATTGCTGCATAACAAATTGCCCCAGAACTCAGAGGCTAAAAACAGTGACAAACATTTCTCTCTCACAGTTTCGTGGGCCAGGAATTTGAGAGCAGCTTGGCTGGGTGGTTGTGGCTCAGGGTTGCTCAAGAAGTTGTAGACAAGATGTCAGTCCGGCCTGCAGTTATCTGAGAGTGTAGACTGGAGCTGGAGTATTCACGTGCAAGGTGGCACACACATGCCTGGAGAGGTGGTGCTGGCTGTGGGCATGAACCCTCTGTGCCTCTCTAGGTGGGCTTCTCCCAAGGCTGCTTAAATGTCCAACCAGTATGGCAGCTGCTTCCCCCAAAGCAATCAGAGAGAGAGAGAGAGTGGCATGCAGTAGGCAGTAGCTGTCCTTTTTATAACCTAGTCTCAGAAGTCGCATAGCATCGCTTCCACCACACTTTGTCCATTAGAAGCAAGTCAATAAGTTTGCCACACGTTCAAGGGGAGGGGAATTAGGTACCACCTTTTGAAGGGAGGAGGGTCTGAGGAACATCCAAAGGTCATGCATGAGGTTTTCTTCATCCATTCTTCCGTCTATTCAACAAATATTTATTGAATTTCTAGTATGGCCAGGTAGTTCAGATACAGAGATAAATAAAGCTTGATCCCAACCCTCAAGGGGCTTATGGTGTAGGTAGAAAAATACCTACAATTTAGGTAGTGCTTTCAAGACCTTGGGTGATAGAAACGATTAATATGCACAGCTGCTAACCAAAAGGTTGGCCATAGGAGTCCACCCAGAGCCACCTTGTAAGAAAGGCCTGGGGATCTACTTCCAAAAAATCAGCCATCGAAAACCCTATGGAGCACAGTTCTACTCTGACACACACGGGGTCACCCATGAGTTGAAATCAACTAGCTGGCAATTGGTTTTTTTAGCAGGGCTTCAAACTGATTCATTTAATGTTAGATTCTGATTCAGAATATTTGGGGTGGAATCATTGGCATTGGCTGGAAGCTTGTTAGAAATGCAGATTTCTCAGCAGGGGTTCAGTGAACCTGTTCTAAGCCCTCTTTTTTAGGTAGTGCTTTACAGCTCAGTGGGAGCCCTGGTGGCACAGTGATTAAGAGCTCAGTTGCTAACTAAAAGGTCGGTATTTCGAATCCACCAGCTCCTCCTTGGAAACCCTATGGGGCAGTTTTACTTTGTCCTATAGGATCACTGTCAGTCGGAATCGACTCGATGGCAACAGGTTTGGTTTGGTTTGGTTTTACAGCTTAATGAGAACTTTCATCTATGTTCTTGTTTAACCTTCTCAGTAGCCCTGTATGATCACTGAAAAGAAAAAGCCAACCAAACCTACTGCCGTTGAGTCGATTCTGACTCATAGCAACGCCATAGGATTTCAAGGCTGTAGTGTTTATGGAAGCAGACTACCACATCTTTCTCCCACAGAACCGCTGGTAGTTTTGAACCACCAACCTTTCGGTTAGCCATCAAACACTTTAACCACTGCGCCACCAGGGCACCTTGTACTATCACTAGTGAGTATAATCACTAGAGCTGGTTATTTCCCATTTGCCCATATCCTTTGAGGCTAAGAGGATAGAGGATTTGCTTAAATCGATACAACTTATGAGGTGGAACTTCACTTTGATCTCAGCAATTCTGACTATAAGTCCCTTACACTTTCTCCTACCCCAGGCTATGTTCCTCGTAGCTGCTGTTCATCCCTGTGCTTCAGATGAGGAAATCGAGGCTGCAGTCACTAAATAGCTCTTGACACTTTAATTCCTTGCTTTTTTCACTGTACTGAGCTGTTCTTGGGGGTAGACTACCCTGAGTACTCCATTGACAGTTGCTGTTGTCTGTCTTCTTGCAGAAAGCCCTGGGTGTGCGGCAGTACCATGTGGCCTCAGTCCTGTGCCAACGGGCCAAGGTAGCCATGAGCCACTTTGAGCCCAATGAGTACATCCGCTATGACCTGCTAGAGAAGAACATTAACATTGTTCGCAAACGGTAAGGCTGCACGTGGGAGCTTGTGGTGACCACTGAAGCGTGCTTCAGCTGCTACTGCCCCTTTTAGAGGCAGGCAGCACGGGAAGTGATGGTGAGGGTTGGTTGGTGATGGTGGCAGGATCAAGGCACTTAGGGTACGAAGGTTCCTGCTAAGGAAAGACATTCTGGATTGGTGGTGGAACTTCTGGCCATTGTGCTAAGGAAGAGTCATGTCATAAAGAGCCTGGGGGTGTGGGCCATAGGGGATGTCTCAGACTCTCTGTGGTGCTGTTGCCTGAGCCTCCCAGCCACACTTCCAGGACAGGCTGCTGACCCCGGGTCCCCCTGTGGGAGCCGTCAAGCCCAGTGGCTGGAGAAACATTTGTATTTCCTCTTCAGTGCACAGGAGAGAGCCCAGGCCTGAGACCTGGAAGAGGTGGAGATCTAGAGCATGTCCATTGTCTGGGCCTCACTTTCTTCACCTGGTAAAATGGCGGTCGTCTTTGCCCTGCTGTTCTCTCATTCACTCAACAAACCCTCAGTGAGCACCTCCTCGGTGCCAGGTCCTAGGTCAGATGCTAGCAGTAGAAGGATGAATAAGGTTCCACGGGAGGATAGGGCACTGCAGGTTGGTAGTACACCCAACCAGCCTTGCTTCTAGAACTTGAATGACTGCAGACAGGGCTGTGCAGAGATGAGAAAGATAGGGGTATACCTGTTTATAGCCAAGGAACAGGCCCAGCTGGAAAAGCAACATGCCCAAGGCCCCACAGTGAGTGAGTGGTGGGACCTGGTCTCTGTGCTCTTGCCCCGGGCTCTTGCCACTGCCCCACACTCCCCTCTGTTGCCCCTTTGCTTTCTCTTCACTGGTATCCTCACTTCAGTTTTTTTGTTTTTCTTTTTTTAATATAACTTCATGAAGATATAATTCATATACCATAAAATTCACCAATTTAAAGTGTATAATTCAGTGGTTTTTAGTATATTCACACTACTGTGCAAGCATCACTACCATCAATTATAGAACAATTTCATCATACCAGAAAGAAACTCTGTACCCATTAGAAGTCACTCCCATTTCCCCCAGTGCTCCCAGCCCTAGATGATCACTAATGTGGAAAGGGCTCTCATAATCTTATCTGCAACAGCCTCTCAGCTAGTGTCTCCTAGTTAGAGTAAGGCGCTAGGAACCATTTGTCAAGGATGGCTGTAATAATAGTAGCTACCTCAGTGTCCGCTGTGGTCTAGGCATTTCACATACGGTATTTCTGTTCTTCACCACCCCGCCTTTAGGTTGTTGTTACACCCCCCTCCCCATTTTGTAGATCAGGAAATAAGACGAGAGTGTCAGATTGAGGTAAACTCATCCATCTACTAAGTAGATGAGCGCAAACTCAAACCCAGGTCTGTCTTGCCAGTGCCTCCCAGTGTTTGTGCTGGGTAGTCTTGTAATTTTCATCTAGGCTGCACGTTAAAATCAGCTGGGAAGCTTTTAAAACTACCACTACCAGGGCCCCACTCTTGGAGATGCCGATTTGAGTGGTTTCGTCTGTGGACCAGCAGCATCGACATCACCTGGTTAGAAGTGCGAATCTGACGCCCTGCCCCTAGCCCATTGAGGCGGACTCTGCAGTTGGGCAGGATCCCCAGGTGACTCACATGCTCATCACAGTTTGAGCAGCAGTGGCCAGAGCCCAACCAAACCAAAGCCACTGCCACGGAGTCGATTCTGACTCATAGCGACCCTGTAAGACAGTAGAACTGCCCCATAGGGTTTCCAAGGCTGTAATCTTTATGGAGGCCGACTGCCACATCTTTCTCTCGAGGAGTGGCTGGTGGGTTCAAACCACTGACCTTTTGATTAGCAGCCAAGTGCTTAACAACTGCACCACCAGGGCTGAGTCGCCAGAGCAGTGGTTCTTAGTATTGCCTGCATATTAGAATCGTCTGGAGATTTTTTTCAATTCCCAGTACCCAGGCAGTACTCCAGACCGATTAAATCTGGGGGCGAGACTAGGCATTGGTATTTTTCAAGTTTCCCAGTTGATTCTAATGTGCAGTCACGGGTGAGAACCACTGTCCCCATCAACACAGGACTTTGTTCAAATGCTTTTTCCCCAGGAAACAATGTTTTATTTAGTCTTGGAGCTCTCCGACCCAAGCTGAGTAGAAAATGATGGCTTTTCCTTTAGTCGGCAAAGCACTCTACCTGCTCTTCATCATGCGTGGAAGGAGATGGGCTTTGAGATAACTTGACAAAGGAGTATTATTTGCAATTTAGTCTTTTTAAAAAAATCAACAAAAACCTGCTCTTTAAGGCACTGAGAGTTTTTTAGGTATTCATTTTATTAGTAAAATTAAACAAAAAAATTTCTTTCCCTGTTTATTCTAAGTCCTGCACTAAGCAGAAAGTTCAGATAACTTTCAGCCTTTCCAGGTTAGTGTAGTCAAGGGAAAGGAGCCCTGGTGGGCACAGTGGGTAAGCGCTTGGCTGCTAACCGGAAAAGTCGGTGGTTAGAAGCCACTCCATGAGAGAAAAGACCTAGTGATCTGCTCCTGTAAAGACTGCAGCCTAGGAACCCTATGGGGCAGTTCCACTCTGTCATATGGGGTCGCTATAAGTCAGAATGAACTCGTCAGCATACAGCAGCATAGTCAAGGGAATGCTTGTCTTCTTTATGCCATAGAACAGTGCTTCTCAATGGGGGGTGGGAGGGTTGGTGCTCAGTTTTATCCCCCAGGGAACGTATGACAATGTCTGGAGACATTTTTAGTTGTCATAACTTGGGGGTAGGAGAGTGCAAATTACTAGTAATCTGAGGCCAGGGATGCTGCTAAACATCTACAGTGCACATAGGACGGTGCCTGCAACAAAAAATGGCCTGGCCTAAAACGTCAGTAGTGCCATGGTTGAGAAATCCTTCTGTAGAGAGAGAAGACAGAGAGTGAGGCTATTTTTTAAAAATCCTAATGGATTAAAATGGGTTTAAGAAATTCCTAAAGGACAGGGGACTTCCTGGGAGATGCTTCCTTTACCCTGCATCAGTAATGGAAGGGGCCTGATTCTGTTCCTGGGAGCTGGGTCTCTGTCATCCTGTGAGGCGGAGGGACAGATTAACATAGAGGACCCATTTGCCATCCTGTTAGCCTCAAGGAAATGTGAAGATGACCCTGTCACTGGGCTTTGTCATTGTCAGGCGTTTTTATATGACTTCAGGCATCACTGTCAAAGTCTTGAGTTTTTAAGCCCATGTGCTATTTTTCATCTCCCTGGGGCCCACAAAGAGAGGCCTGCTCTGGGTAGTGAGTCTGGCCCACACGCCTGCCTTGGGGGTGCTGCCGCCAAGGGAGCAGGCTGCACATCAAGCCAGGGCTATTTTTTTTTTTTTTAATTATTTTTGTTGTTGAGAATATACACAGCAGAACATGCACCATTTCAACAATTTTGACATGTACAATTCAGTGACATTGATTCATCCTTCGAGTTGTGCAACCACTCTCACCCTCCTTTTCCAAGTTGTTCCTCCTCCATTAGCACAAACTCCCTGCCCCTAAGCTTCCTATCGAATCTTTCGAGTTGCTCTTGTCAGTTTGATCCCATATAAATAGAGCTTAAAAGAAAACAATGCTTAAGGAAGACATTCTTTACTAGTTAAGCTAAACTATTGTTGAGTTTTAAGAAGACTTCAGGGGATATTTTTGGTTTAAGGTTTAAAGATTATCTCAGGGCAATAGTTTCAGGGGTTCATCCAGCCTACATAGCTCCAGAAAAATCTGGATTCCATGAGAATTTGAAATTCTGTTCTGTACTTTTCCCCTTTTGATCAAAGATTCTACAGAAGAATGTTTACTTACCATAAAATGTTCAGTAATGGTAGCTGTGCACTGTCCAGTTCTTCTGGTCTCATGGTAGAGGAGGCAGTTATTCATGGAGGCAGTTAACCACACTCCATTTCCTCCTCCTATTCCTGACTCTCCCTCTTTGTTTGTTGATCCGGGTTAATAGAGACCAATTGTACTTTTGATGTCCGCTTGCAAGCTTTTAAGACCCCAGACACTATACAGTGAACTAGGAGGTAGAACAGAAGCACTAAACACAATGTTAAGGCCAGGGCTATTCTGATTCAGGGTTCTCTGACTTTAGAACTGTAGGGATTTTCAGAATTGCCAGTTGATCTGCTGATGCCTGCAGACCCAACACCTTAGGGAACTCTTGCTCCCTCCCACAGGATTAGGTAAACTTGGGGCCGAGGGGCTGGAGCCCAGGCTGGTGGAAAGAAGTTTCTGTACTTTCCCAGCAGGCTCACATTGGTACTATCAATAACTATAATGATTGGACACTTACTACAGGCTGGGCCCTGTTCCAAGTTCCCATGTTATTGAGGGAAAGTGGGTTGCCATAAAGAGCATAGACAGTAAAGCCACACTCCCTGGCTCTTTGCTTTTTAGCTCTTCTACTCATTAGCTTTGACCTGGGGCAAGTTGCTTTACCTCTCTGTGCCTCAGATTCCTCATCTGTGTTTTGAGAATCAAACGAGCTGTATGTATGAAAGTGCTTTGGACAATGCTAAGCTGAAGTCTGCACTACAAAACTAATCTGTAGTGACAGCAGGTCAGTGGTCTCTTGGTGATGGGGGCAGGAAGGAGGGGTGAGAGAGGGGCACAGGGAACTTTTGGGGGTGATGGATATTTTCACTATTGAGTTGATTTCATAGGTGTGTACATATGGTAAAAGTTAAAAAATTGTACATTTTAAATATGTGCAGTTTATTGTGTCCCAATTAATTATACCTCAATAAAGATATTTTTTAAAAAGTAAGCACTTTATAAATGTTAGCTATGATCTCGTTCCGGTTCAAACATGGATTTTAGAGCTAGGTCAGCCCAGCTCCCTGAGAAAAGGGCAGTCACTTCCCTGGCTACCCAGGGGATTTAGTGAAAGGATCGGGTCTATTATGAACAGTGCTGCAATGAACATAGGTGTGCATACATCTATTTGTGTGGCGGCTCTTATTTCTCTAGGATATATTCCAAGGAGTGGGATTGCTGGATTGTATGGTACTTCTATTTCTAGCTTTTTAAGGAAGCGCCAAATCGATTTCCAAAGTGGTTGTACCATTTTACATTCCCACCAGCAGTGTGTAAGTGTTCCAGTCTCTCCACAACCTCTCCAACATTTATTATTTTTTGTTTTTTGGATTAATGCTAGCCTTGTTGGGGTGAGATGATATCTCATTGTAGTTTTGATTTGCATTTCTCTAATGGCTAATGATCATGAGCATTTCCTTATGTGTCTGTTAGCTGCCTAAATGTCTTCTTTGGTGAAGTGCCTATTCATGTCCTTTGCCCATTTTTTAATTGGATTATTTGTCTTTTCGTTGTTGAGTTTTGCAGTGTCTTGTAGATTTTAGAGATTAGATGCTGATTGGATTTGTCATAGCCAAAATTTTTTTTCCCAGTCTGTAGGTTGCCTTTTTACTCTTTTGGAAAGGATCGGGTCTAACCCAGCGCTCCCTGAGACTTCTTTCTTCTCAGTCTCAAGCACTAGGGAATGGCCTGCTGGGTAGGGGTGGAACTCTGCTCCTTCCCAGGAGGCCTCAGTTTGGCAGAAGCTTTGAGAAGGGTGGGAGGTGGAGCATGTGGCCCAGCAGAGGGCAACTGTGGCAGGCAGCGGGGGCTCTTCTTTGCCAGGTGGGCAGCCAGTTTGCGTGGCAGCAGCAGGGAGTCATCAGGGAGCTTTAAGGTGGGTGGTGGGGTGTGACCTGCCCTGAGCTTAGTCTAGATGGGCGGGAGGCTGGGCCTGAGTAGCGTGGGACAGGCTGGTGTGGAAGAGGCAGCTGAATCCTGGCAGGTGCGGTGCCTCCCCAAGGGCCAGGTTTGGACAGCCATTTTGGCCCTGATGAGGAAGGGAGGGGTGGAACCTACAGGGCAGTGGGGTCTAGAAGTGGAGGACCAGTGAGTGGCTGGAGTTGGTGACTGGGTATCTGCTCTTGAGAGCTGACAGTCACACCTGTCTTCATGGGGTGAGAAAGAAAGGGGGACAATGCGAAGAGCTTTAGCTTTGCCGGGTTCCGCTTAATAGTGTAACAATGAGGCATCCAGCACTTGAGGTGGAGGGCTGTGGAGAAGGATTGGAGGGGTTGGTACGGATCCTCGGCGTCTTAGCAGGGCTGAGGGCACAGTGGAGATGGCCACGGACAGAGAGAAGTAGAGGCTCCACGGTGAGACTCTAGCTGTGGACTGGAGCTAGAGACATCACTGTGCTGAGCCTCCGTTCCTCTTGGTGGTTTTATTCAATGACAAGGATATGGTGAGTGTTAAATAATGAGATCCTCATCAGATAATAGCAGTGCACTGGAAAAGCAAATATCCTCAGGAAAAAACAGCCCTGCCATCTCCTGTAATGTCATTCACTTATTGTTCACTTAATTTTGAGCACCTAACAAGTGCCAAAGAGCTCTGGTGGCACAGTGGTTAAGCGCTTGGCTGTTAACCAAAAGGTCGGTGGTTCGAACTCACCATCTGCTCTGCCAGAGAAAGATGTGGCAATCTGCTTCCGTAAAGATTTACAGCCTTGAAAACCCTATGGGCCAATTCTACTCTGTCCTACAGGGTTGCTAAGAGTTGGAATGGACTCGATGGCATTGGATTTTTTTGGTTTGGAATGAGTGCCAGGTACTGTGCTGTGTGCTGGGCATACTGCAGTGACCAGGACCAGCCACCACTTGGACGCAGAGTCCTGGAGTGCCTGTGGGCCGTGGGGCTGCGTGGCTGGTACCAACCTGTCTCTCTCCCTGCAGACTGAACCGGCCTCTGACCCTCTCAGAGAAGATTGTGTATGGCCACCTGGATGACCCAGCCAACCAGGAGATTGAGCGGGGCAAGACGTACCTGCGGTTGCGGCCGGACCGTGTGGCCATGCAGGATGCCACGGCCCAGATGGCCATGCTGCAGTTCATCAGCAGCGGGCTGCCCAAGGTGGCTGTGCCATCCACCATCCACTGTGACCACCTGATCGAGGCCCAGGTCGGGGGTGAGAAAGACCTTCGTCGTGCCAAGGTGAGCTGGAGGGAGTGGGGCAGCCTGGGAGGAGAGGCCAGGCCCTAGCTCAAGAGCATCCCAAAGCGTCGCCTCCTAGTGCTAATGGGTGCTTTGGTTTAGTCTTTTTTAAAGAATGGCTTTTGTTCTTTTCTAATTCTACAAAGACCATTTGCTCAATGAGAAGACCTTAGAAAATCCAGAACAAGCATAAGGAAAATGCAACTATTCTTAATCTTACCAAACTAAAGGTATTTCTGTCATTAGGAAAATGATACATATCGCCAGTTGCTCTGAGAGGGTCTGCCCAGACCAGTGCGTCATGCACTCACACTCTCGTCTGACCTCCCGAGGACCCTGTCAGGGAGGTAGGCTGCACAGTGTTGCCATTTGTGAATATGAGGCAGCCGAAGCACCTACCATCCTTCACACAACTACATGGGCATAGTTAGGGCTGAACCCTGGCCCTGACCCCCACTCTAGTGCCCTCCTGCTCATTGACCTCCTTTGGGTGCCTTCTCTTAGTTTTGTTCAACCAGATAGAAGGGACTGTAGGCCACCCTGGAATGTTTTTCCCTGATTTCTCCCTACCCTTCCTTGTGAAACTAAATCCCTCTCCTAGCTTGGCCTCTGTGCTACCATTGTGTGTGTCGGCTCTTGGCAACAGCAGGTCTCTGGCAGCCCTGGGCCCCCCTTGCCCTCTGCAGTGGGAGTAGGTGCCCCTCACAGGGGGACATGGGCAGGAGCTGAATGCTGGCAGGGCCTCCGCCTGGCCTGGTACAGAGTGGGGCCTGTGATTGAGAGTGCTCTGGCTCCCAGGGTCAGCCCAGCACAGAAAGCCTCGCAGCCCCATGGGAAACACTCCGGGCAGCGTTCTCATCCCAGCCATTCTTCTCAGCCTGGCCCGCTGGGCACTTTCCTGGTTGTGCAATGGTACTTTCCCACTCAGCTGAAAGGAGAGCCCCGCCTGCTGGCAGCATTTCTTTGTTAGCAACAGCAGGGATGGTAATGTTACAGGGACCCCTGCAGTGCTGGGACCTGAGCGTGGCCAGGAGCCTGGGTCCCTTCAGCCCTGGAGACAGCTGCCCACAGTCGGGCCACCACCCTGGCTTTATGGGTCAAAATCTGCATTCAGTCCCTTCCTTTTGCAGAATGAGATGCATGCTCTTCATTTATTCTACAAGTACTGACTGAGCATTCAGTGTGTACCAGGCCCAATCCCAGGTGCTGGGGATTCAGTGTGAACAGAAAAGACAGGGTCGCTACCTCTGTGGATATCAGAGTCCAATGGGGGCAGGTGCTGAACCCACACAAATCATGGCAAGTACGGCTGCATGCTGTGGAGGGGTAAATGCAGGGCTCTGAGAGCATAACAGGGAGGCCTGATTTCAGTTTTGGGGGAGAAAGAGAAGGCATCTTTGAGGATGTGACAGGTTAGCTGAGACCTGAACAAATAAGTAGGTATTAACTGGGGGAAGAACATTCTAGGCATAACAGTTTGTGCTAAGGCCTCGAGGCAGGAAGAAACGTGATGCAGTTGTGGCATTGAAAGGGTGCCTGTGGCTGGAGCTCAATGTGTGCGAGAAGGTGGTATGAGGCGGGTGAGGCAGGGCCTGGGGAGCTCTGCTAGGGGCTGTGGTCATTGAGGACTTTACGTAGAGGAGGCATATGGTCGGATTTACATACAGCTGTAAAGGACCTCCCTGGCTGGGGCCTGGAGAGGCAGAGTGACTTGTCCAGGGCCACACAGAGAGCCAGAGAGGGATCCAGGCTGAGTCCCAGGCCAAGACTTCTGCAGCGCTCTGGGACCCCCTCCTCTTCCCCCACCCCCACAGAGACACGCCTCTTGCCCTCAGTACACATTTCACAAGTGACGGATTTGTAAATGAAAAAGGCAGCATATTAGTTATTAATTGGAAAGAGACTCCTCTTCTTTGTCTGGTCTCTGAGTCTCAATTTCCCTTTGTATTTGTAGAAGGAGCTGGGCTGAGTAATCTCCAAGGGCCGCTCATTCTTCTCGGCATTCTTTTACTTGGTGGACCCACATGGGTCCTCAGGAGAGTACACAGTAGTCTGAGTGGGGGGCTGACTGGTTTCAAGGGGGTTATGTCGAGGGGAGCTGACGGTGAGTCTCTTCTCTGCTGAGGGGGGCACAGCTCTCCTGGCCCTGATGCCGGCAAGTCTTATTCCTAGTGCCTCCTTTGTGACTCCGTGCAGTCCAACACAGTCCCATTCTCCTGTCACTCCGGTCACACTTGTCCAGGGATATGTCATGTCTTCTAGAAGAATTTGACCTCACGTCAGCGGTGCTGTGAGGCCCTTCTCACCCCCAGAAGCTGCCTTCAGATTACAGGCGGATGGTTGAACAGGCACACTGCATCCATCGGTTTATTTTGTTTTGTGGAAACCGCTGTTTGAAAACAGTGGACCATTGGATAGTCTTTCATTTGGGGCTCATCAAGCGTGTTCCCAAATATTGAGCCCCTCTTACGTGCCAGACACTGGACCAGGTGCTTTCTTTGATGTCATCTCGCTCTCTCCTCCCCGTAAGGGAGGGAGGTCTGTTTTATATTAGAGCTTAGTCCTCAGGCTCTGGGGTTGGACAGACCTGGTGTCAGACCCTGCCTCCTTTGTTGAGCTCTGGGATCTCCAGCTATTCATTGCTCTGAGCCTCTGTTTTGCATCTGTAAATGGGCTTGATGACAGTACTTCCCTCATGGGGTGGGTTGTGAGGATGTTTAGCATGATGCCAGTTTCCTAGTGGGCATTCAATGAACATCAGCAGTTATTACAGCCGAGGCCCTGAGGCCCAGATGGGAAGCAGCAAACCCAGTGAGCCATGGTGCAACTAGAGTGTCCCCTCTGTCCCCCCAACATCGTGTTCCAGCCAAACAGTCTTAGGGCAGTGTGCTCCTCCCCTGCTGGCCTTGTCTGAAGGACTCAGCAGCCAGAAGGGCCCCTGGAGATCATTCAGCCCAGCTTCTCCTACAAATACATAAGGACGTCAAGACTCAGAGACGAGGGCAGGGGAGGGTGCTTCCCCCACCAGGTGTCCCAGAGCTAGCTGTCTTATCCTTCTTCCCTCCTGCCACCTGAGACCGTGGGCCAACACGCAAGCCCCTTTGAGATTATTTTTAGAAGTTCTTCAGGAGAGGGCCTGTCCCCAGTGCCGGCATTTCAGAGTCATAGGGGAGGTGGGGGGGAAGGGAGGGAGGAGGGCATGAACAAGGGTCATCCCAGACGCAAACTGCTTACTAATGCTGTCATTATCAATTGTCTCAACAGGACATAAACCAGGAAGTATATAATTTCCTGGCAACTGCAGGTGCCAAGTATGGCGTGGGCTTCTGGAGGCCTGGATCGGGGATCATTCACCAGGTAAAGCAGGGCTGGCCTCCTTTCCAAGGGGCAGGGCCCAGACGGCAGTTAGGTAACCAGAGAGCACCTTCCATGTCTGCAGGAGGGGCGCTCAGGGCTCTGGAAGGCTGGAGGGTTCATATGGCATCTCAGCCAGCCCCTAGGCTCCTCCTCCTCTGATTTTTTTTTTTTTATTTATGGTGGAAATAAACACAGCAAAACATACATCATCTCAACATTCCACATTTACAATTCAGTGACATTGATTACATCCTTCAAGTTGTGCCACAATCTCACTGTCCTTTTCCAAATCATTCCACCCCCATGAACATAAACTCAGTGCCCCTAAGCAAAAACCCGTCCTCTCCCCTCCCTCCCACCCCTGGTCACCTCTGGTTTCTGTATATTTGCGTATTTCATGTAAGTGAGATCATGTACTGTTTGTCCTTTTGTGACTGATTTATTTGCTCAGCATGTTTTTGAGGTTCCTCCGTGTGGTGGCATGCATCAGGACTTCATTTCTCTTTATGGCTTAGTAGTATTCCATTGTGTGGAATACTTTATTTTTAATGAATTTTTTAATATGTCATGTTATACATTCTCATTCTCCATGTAAAAAATTAAAATAGTTCCCTCTGATTGCTTCAACCCAGGTAGTCAGCATTTTAAATCTGGCGTGTCTTTCCATACCTTCTTCTAAGCATGCATCTGGGATGACCTTTGTTCATGCCCTCATCCCTCCCTTTCCCCCTCCTCCCCTATGACTCCGAATTGCCGGCACTGGGGACAGGCCCTCTCCTGAAGAACTTCTAAAAATAATCTCAAAAGGGCTTGGGTGTTGGCCCACAGTCTCAGGTGGCAGGAGGGAAGAAGGACAAGACAGCTAGCTCTGGGACACCTGGTGGGGAAAGCGCCCTCCCCTGCCCTGGTCTCTGAGTCTTGGTGTCCTTATGTATTTGTAGAAGGAGCTGGGCTGAATAGTCTCCAGGGGCCCTGTCTAGAGCATTATTTTTATTTTGCTTTTTTCCCTAAATGTTATTGCATGCATTGGTCCACAGGTAGCCTTTTTTATTTAATTTTTTAAAATAGACTTTATTTTTCAAAGCAGTCTTCAGTTAACAGAAAAATTATGCAGGCAGCACAGAGTTCCCATAGACAATCCCCACCCCCCTACTGTTTCTCCTATTAACATCTTGCATTCCTATGGCGTATTTGTCACAATTGATGAACCAGTAGGATACATTGTTATTAATAAAGTTAATAGTTTACTTTAGGGTTCACTGTGTGTTGTACAATCCTGTGGATTTTGACGAATGCGTAATGTCATGTGTCCACCATTACATCATACAGAATAGTTTCACTGCCCTAAAAATGCCCTGTGCTCCACCTAGTCATCCCCCTGCCCCCACCTCCAAATCCCAGCAACCACTGATCTGTTTACTGTCTCTAGAGTTGTACCTTTTCCAGAATGTCACATCGTTGGAATCATACAGTATGTAGCCTTTTCAGACTGGCTTCTTTGTCTTCAGCTTGCCCTTTTCATTTCAGTAATAACGACAGCTAACATTTGATAAGCACATGCTATGTGTCAGGCGCTGTACTGAGCACGTTAAAAATACTAACTCATTCAGTGCTCACCACAACACTGTGAGATCCGGGCTTTTAGTATTCACACCTGACAGATGAGCAAACTGGGGCACAAAGAAGTCCATCTCCTTGCTTAGGGACACCCAAGCCTGAATGTGCACCTAAGCAGGCTGGCCCCGCAGCCAGTGCTCCTACCCACTGTACTTACTGCCCAGCCCACTGTGAGTGCCTCCCACGCTGGTGTACGTGGTACTCCTCATTCCTTTGGGCCCCCTCATGGCGTCCTTGAGGATGGGGGTGCCCTAGGGGATGTGGCCATGTCAGCTGGGGCTTTTCTTCCAGAGTCTCCCTAGGGGCAGACTTTCTCCTGTGAGTGTGTGTGCTTGGGTTTCTGGGGAGGGAGGTGCTTAGCTTTCATCAGCAGGACTTTTGGGACCACTGACCTGATTTGTGGGAGTGCAGTGGTCTGTGTGTGTCTGGCTCTGAAAACCTGCCTCTGCTCCTTTCCAAAGTGCCCCTTCTCCCCCCCTTCCATCCCAGGCCTCACTTCCTGGCCTCCTTCAGGGTGAGCTGAGTCAGGCTGTGATCCGACCCGCCTGGGCTCCCGGTCCGAAACCAGAGCTGAGGGATCACTGCTCTGCCCTTTCAGACCTGCATCCTTTCCAGGAGGGGCTGCTTGGGGTGGCCGGCAGCAGGGGCTAGAGAGTCTACTGGGACCAATCTGAGTGTCCCCCATTCCACTTCAGTACAAATGACCGGGCCTTCCCAGCGGTTCCCGGGCCCATTTGGGGCTGTGAGTGATGGCAGCTTCACCTGCCCAGCGACCAGCTAAGCCAACAGCCTGGTCTGCTTGTTCATTTAAACAAAATCCCCAGGGCTCTGTGAGTGCTATGCAGCTTCACCTTTCTCTGACCTCCCGGGTTGGGGAACTCTCCCTTCTGTGTCCATACCTTTCCCTCCATCTCGAGTGCCCAGTCCTCGGCTGACCTGACAGATCCCCCTCCTCATGTAAGCTTCCGGGTCACCTCTGTGAGGCCACCTGCCTCCCCCGTGCCCTGCACTGGGGGCTCCCTCCCCTGTGCGTTCCTCTGTGGGACCCTTCACATCATGATCCCACTGGGTGCCAGGTGCTTTCCCCACGGACCGTGTGTGCTGTGGGAACAGGGCCTATGGCTTGTTTCTCCCTCGCTGGCTCTGGGCCCAAGGTCGGCTCAGTACAGAGTAGGTCCTCAGTGTATGTGTAGGTGGAGGATGGCTGAATTTCCAGTTTTATGTTCTGGATGCTAGTCCTGCCCTAAAGTACTCTCCCCCTCCCCCTCATCCGCCCAGCCACATCCAGCCGACTGGTGAGGCCCTTGTCACAGCCTGCTTCCTTGTGGCGCTATCTGTGGTCCTAAGGCCCACGCTCACCTCCCCGCGCTGGGCACTGAGCACAGTTGTGGTCTGCACGAGTACCACGCTGAATTCAGTGTGTCTGGTCTTCATGGATCAGACCTTCACTACCTTGAGGAGCTTTAGAGATTAACCAGTCTTCAATCTTTCCATGTGGCTGAGGTAAGGGAGGGCCGGTTAAGCAGTGCTCAACGATTGTTTGTTAGGGCCTCCTGTTTGTTAGCCTGGTCTTCTCAGCAGCTGTACACTCCTGGGGAAGGACTAGGTCTTCTACCTTTCTGCATCCTCCCCGGAGTGAGACCTTGGCTAGACGCAGAGGCGCTGGAGTTTCTGTGACATTCCAGGAGCCCGCCCGCCCACCACTCAGAGGCTCCTGGCAGTTCATAGAGCCGTTCACATCTTGCTCTCACGTCTCCCATCTGACAGATGGGCAGTAGAATCTCAGATTACGGTTCTTGCTGACTAATAATAAATAAAGATACAAATTAATAAAAATATAGAATTTCTGCTCTGTACCAGGCACTGTTATGTACTTAATACACATGATCTCATTGAGTCATCACAATAATCATGAGGTGGGCACGATCATTAGCTGTCTTTTATAAATGAGGACACTGAGGTTTGGAGAGGCAACATGAATTGCCCCAACTTGTGGTAGGAGGTGGAGCCAGAGCTTGAGCCTGGGACACGGGCCTCCCAGCCTGGAGCTTCTCCCAGAGTGTACTGCGGCCCTCGAAGTACCCAGCACCTCAGAGGGGACTGGGTGCTGGGCAGGGCCACACTTGGGTAGCTGACCCTGTACCTCCGCTGCCTTTGTTATCAAAGGTGTTGGGGGAAATGGTCACTGCCAACGCCTTCCCAGCTAGAAGGCATGCCTCAGTGAGGGGAACGCCATAGTCTGCCTTTCTGTGAAACTGGAAGGACGATGAGGAAGTGAAACAGGACACGTTCATACCCCTGACTTTCTGCCTCCTGTCTCAGAGCTGGTCTTTCTTGCCAGTGCCAGCCATGTGGGCGGAAAGGTGCCCATGCTGGTAAGGTGGAGCCCTACCTGGCTTTTCCCAGAACTGGTCTGAGTGTTTGCTTTCTCTTGACTCTGTGCAGGGCCTGCTTGGGGGGGTGCATCCCCAGGCAGCATTGGCTTCGCAGGCCAGCAGAGTGCAGTGCCTGACAGCAGGGGCAGCTGGACCCTCCTTCCCGGCTCCTCTCAGTCTTAGAGTGGTCAGAGGCACCCTGTGGGCTGGGAAGACCATGGGCTCTGAGGACTTAAGGGATGTGGGCTCTGCTACTTGTCTGACCTGGACACCCTTGAGCAAGTCACTTCTCAGAACTGCCTCCAGGATGCGGAGGTAGGAGGAGACACCCTCTACGCTTCAGCCCAGCAGTGGAAAACCACATGACCACTGTGTTCCCACTGGCTGCTACGCACTTTCTTAGGCACCTTGTGGGGGCTGGAGCCAGTTTCTAAAATAATTGTCTCCCCTGTGAGAAGTCAGATAGGCATACTGTAACCCTGCACAGGCCACCACATGAGGCACAGTGTTGTCAGGAGCAGCTGACAGGGTCCCGTTTGTCCCTGGGCCAGTCTTAGGGTACATTCTTCTATCCCAGTTCATCTGGTTCTCACCAGAATCCTGGGGTCAAGGTGGTGCAAGTGTTCTTATTCCTGTGCTACAGGTAAGGAAACGGAGGCCCCAGGAGGCATTTACAGGCCCAAGTCCTACAGTCGGGAAGTATCAGAGCGGTTCATGAGCGCGGGCTGCTGTCCCCCGAATCTCTGATTCTTCCTGGCCGACCACATTGGAGCTGACCTGTACTAAATGGGGCTGCCCCCACTGAGCCCACACTGGGGGAGTGGCTGGGAATGGCTGGGTGGCCCTGTGTCGTGGGGGCAGCTTTCCAGACCCCTTTTGGGCCCTACCTCCATTCTTCTGTTGAGGGCTTCCCAGCTTTTAAGAAGTTGGATTCTTTTTCAGATCATTCTGGAAAACTATGCATACCCTGGGGTTCTTTTGATCGGCACCGACTCCCACACCCCCAATGGGGGAGGCCTGGGGGGCATCTGCATTGGGGTCGGGGGTGCTGATGCAGTGGACGTCATGGCTGGGATCCCCTGGGAGCTGAAGTGTCCCAAGGTGAGGATGGAAGGACACGTTCCGGGGTGGCTGTTGGGGCACGTGGGGGATGAATGTAGAATCTGAGACTCAGAGGGATGGGGGCTAGGGCAAACTCAGAACCTTTTGGGAGGGAGGCGGGGTAAGTCAGCAGAAATGAGAATTGCAGCAAGTAGACGCCTCAGCTTCCTAGTTGGATGTGGCCCAGCCCACAGCCTGTAATTGCTGTCTCGCCTTCCTGCTCAGGTGATTGGTGTGAAGCTGACAGGCTCGCTGTCTGGCTGGACCTCTCCCAAAGATGTCATCCTGAAGGTGGCAGGCATCCTGACAGTGAAAGGTGGCACGGGTGCCATTGTGGAGTACCATGGGTCTGGCGTAGACTCCATCTCCTGCACTGGTGAGGAGGGCGCCCACAGGATGTGGCCCTCAGGCTGCACCGGACCTCTGGGGCCTCTGGTTGAGCAGTGGAAGCAGTGAATGGCTTTCCCCTGAGACAGTTTGGGGGCTTGGGCTAGACTCACTGGCTGCCTAGGAAATCCAGTCACAGACTCAGAGGTAGAGGGGAGATTGGAGACAGACCTGGAGATTGTCTGGTCCAGGCCCTGCCTTCAACAGATGTGATGAGAACCCTCTCAGGGAGAGGAAGTAACCTTCCTGTGGCCACAGAGAGTTAGGGGCTCAGCCAGGTCTTCTGGAGCTGGGCCCTGGCCATGGCCCTGAGCTGCCTTGGGTGATCTGAAAGGAAACTCCCAGAGAGGCCAGAGGTGGGAGGTGGTGGTGGGAGTGGGGAGTCAGCCCCACAGCTTTCCCTGGCTGGGGTTTGAACCTCGCTCATTCCCTTGGGGTAGAGATTATAGGAGACCAGTTAGCCTCCAAGACAGGAAGGAGCCAGCACCTTTCTCCCCATCGTTCCTGGTGGCCTGGCATTGCTGTCTGGGCCGTCAGACATCCAGGGACATGGAACAAGCCTCAAAGTGGTCCAGTCCAGACTTCCCGAGCCCCACAGAAGTGCTGTTCCACTGGCTCTTGTTCCCCCAGCGTTGATGGGGCTCACTCTCACAGGTAGCCCTCCACCATTGGACAGTGCAGTGAGGAAGTTGATAGCAAGCCCACACCCATGTCCCAGCAGCCCCATGTAGCAGTGTCCCGAGGGCAGTCAGGGTGTCTGTCAGCCTCATCTGTCCCAGGTGATGCTCTGTGACGCAGACAGTGGGCGTTATTCCAGTCTTCCTGCTGATAACCTGAGACCCAGAACAGTTTCCACACAGCAGCTTGGTGTGGCTGGAAGAGGGAGGCCTGGACGTGAGCCAGGCAGACTAGACATGAATGTCAGCGCCTGCATTTGCTTTATGGCATGACCTTGAACCTGTATGAACCCATCCCCACCTGCACAGTGGACACAGTAAGAACTGGGCAGTGTCTGGCCAGGTCGGCCTGTGGGACCTGATGGCCTTCTCTGTCTGGTCTGCCGAGTGTTCTGTCCGTCCTGCCCAGTGGCCACTGAGAGCTGGAACACTGAGTTCTGGTTCCGAGGCCTCCCTTCCCTGGCCATGATCTTAGCCCTGGGCCACAGGGATGCGTGCCCCCTGTCCTGAGGCCTGGGGGACTGTGCCCAGCTGCTCAGCCAGCCCCATGGTCTCTGTTTTCATGCAGGCATGGCGACAATCTGCAACATGGGTGCAGAAATTGGGGCCACCACCTCAGTGTTCCCCTACAACCACAGGATGAAGAAATACCTGAGCAAGACTGGCCGGGCAGGTGAGCCTGCTGAGCAGGGTGTGGGGTCAGAACAGTTGGATTGTGTGCTCCTCCCCAGGTTACCCCTGAGTGAGTACTGTTGCCCAACCTAGTGTCTGTAGACTGGCTTCAGAGGCTCTGAGAAGCCACTGAAGGTGTCTGGAAGTTCTGCGTGTTTGTTTCTGAGTAGGGCATCTGTGGCTTTCATCAGCTTCTTAAAGGGGCCTGGCATCTGAGTTTGAGATGTCTGTGCCTCAGGATTGGAATTTGAGTTTGACCTAGGAGGATGGCTGAATACCAGGTCTTTTTGGCCTGGCTCCTGGTGCCCCGTACAGGAAGCTTCAGAAATGACCCGGATCTGCTTCTATTTATAATTCTTGCCATAACGGGGAGGAGGAAAACACTGGAATAAGAACCATTTTCCCGGCCTCCCCCACCACCCTCCCCAGCCTGTTCTAGTTTGGCCTCCTCTGCCACCTCCCTCCCCAGGAGGTTCTAGCTTGGCTTCTTCCCCCACTGCCCTCCCCAAACTGTTCTAGCTCAGCCCTCCTCTCCCACCTCCCTCCCCAGGAGGTTCTAGCTCAGCTTCCTCCCCCATTACCCTTCCCAGGCTGTTCTAGCTTGGCTTCCTCCCCCATCACCTTCCCCAGGCTGTTCTACCTTGGCTTCTTCCCCCGTCGTCCTCCCCAGGCTGTTCTACCTTGGCTTCCTCCCCTGTTGCCCTCCCCAGGCTGTTCTAACTCGACTTCCCCCCATACCCTTGCTCTCCCCAGGAGGTTCTAGCTTGGCTTCCTCCCCCGTCTCCCTCCCCTAGGAGATGTAGCTGGGTTTCTTTGAGGCTCTGAGGAGAAAGCAGGGCCTGCCGGAGAGGTTGTCGGCACCTGTGGAGGGAGGTGAACAAGGCCATGAGGTGGACCCAGAGGCTGGGGCCCAGGGGAGCGCTTGTCTGTTTGCTTCCGACCTTTGAGCACATGGATTCCTGTCTGGAAGGCCCTTCCCCTCCCTTTCTTTATCGAGTAACTTCTTCAAAATTCGCTCTACTTAACTCCAGGAAGCCTTCCCCAACTCTGACCTCATCAGGTGCTTCTCCTCTGAGTCCCTGTATTCCTGTGTCTCACTGATAGCTCCTCACTAGATTGTGAGCTCCTTGGGGCCAGGAGTGCTCTGTGCTATTTTGTTCCTTCGTTTGCCTGGTCAGTGCCCAGGGCACCGTGCCAGGTGATGGATGGACTCTCAAGACCGCTTTCTGTTCCACATGCTTCAGCCCCCTCCCTTGTTTTCAGACATTGCCAATATAGCTGAGGAATTCAAGGATCACTTGGTACCTGACCCTGGCTGCCATTATGACCAACTGATTGAAATTAACCTGAGTGAGGTGAGGAAGGGAATGAAATCCAAGGAATTTCTGAGGGTGGGAGTTCAGGCCCCATCTAGGGGCTTCTCGTGCCCACTGGTTCTTAGCACTTGGAAGGATCAGGGTGGGTCCCTGGCTGCTCAGCCAGCAGGCTCTCGGGCCTTTGGTGCCCAGTACCCCTGTAAATTGCTGCCTGAAGCAGGCTGGAATGGAGATGGGCTGGGGCTGTGGAGACATGGCCATGAAGAGAGTGGAGGTGGCTCGTTCAGAACAGTCAGTTTGCTGCTTAGCAAAGCCCTGACTTTGCTCTGGAGGGTTTTCCTTGGTGTCAGAGCTCATCAGCCCACCCGTACAGAGGGCTGAGCAGGGTTTGGGCCCCTGAGGCCTGCAGGCCAGAGTTGGCATCGCAATGCCAGAAGGCAGGCTGTAGGAAAAGGCAGCAGAATGGTCAAGGCCTTGGGCCCTGCAGCCAGTCTGCATGGGTTCATATCCCAGCCCTTCCACTTCACCTCTGCAGGCCTCGCTTCATTTGTGAAACCTAAGGCGCTTGTGGGGATTATTAAGTTAATTGATGAAATAATAATTGCTAACTCTTCTTGAGTGCTTACTGTGTGCCAGGCACTTCGCTCAGAGCTTCACATTTATTAAGTATGAACACACGAAGGAGCCCTGGCGGCACAGTGGTTAAGCACGCAGCTACTAACTGAAAAGTTGGTGGTTCCAACCCACTAGCCACTCCACAGGAGAAAGATGTAGCAGTCTGCTTCTGTAAAGATTACAGCCTTGGAAAACCTATGCGGCAGTTCTATTCTGTCTTCTAGGTTCACTATGTGTCCAAATCAACCTGATGGCCATGGATTTGTTTTTAGGAGCACATTTTTACATTTTACATGTGAAAACAGTGAGTTTTTGTTAACAGATTCCAAAAGCAGCGTGGTATGGGAGATAACAGACTCAGGAAGCAGGCAGCCTTGATTCCGTCCACGCCTCTGCCCTCTCCAAGCTGTGTGTCCTTCACCAGACACATCACTTCTGAGCTTCAGCTCTTTCCTTTGCAGAGGGTGGACGAGACGAGTTTGCAGGCTGGGGGTTCCTGATGCTGGCGTCTTGTACAGTGCCTGCTGAGGGCTCAGGGGCTTCTGTCATGAGGGCTGAGCCCTCGGAGAGGAGTTGGCCGCCTGGGGCCTCTGCAGGGACTTGGCGAGTGGGAGCCAGGCAGTCCCCGGAGGGTGGAGCCATCCACACGGCAGGATTGGTGCCCACTGCGCTCTTGACGTGCCATGCGTCTTTGTTTCCTCAGCTGAAGCCGCATATCAACGGGCCCTTCACCCCCGACCTGGCCCACCCTGTGGCAGAAGTCGGTAATGTGGCTGAGAAGGAAGGGTGGCCCCTGGACATCCGTGTGGGTGAGCACCTCCCAGCCCAGTCGGGCATGGGTCACTCAGGTGTGGAGGATCACCTGTACCGACCGCGGGAGCCATCAAAAGCAGGCCCCTGCTGAAAGAGCGTTTTCTTTATGGCTTTTGTATTAGTGACTTTTCCTTAGTATTAAAGAAATATATGTTCATTGTAGAGAATATTAACAAGCAAGAAGAATTTTAAAACACCCCTGATCTCAACCGCCAACCAGAAATGAGTGTAAGAGTACTTTTGAGAGACAGCTTTTCTTGCATACGTTTCCACGTGTACATTTCTTTGTTTTACAAACATGTAGTCATGCCAGCTATGCGTTGTATAGGCCACTGTACTTCCGTGCTTTACATAACATGCTGGCATGTTAACAGAATCAGCATCTGCTTTAGGGAGGTGGTACAGTAGATCTGGGCAGCCTTGAGCAAGTTACTTCACCTCCCTGTGCCTCAGTTCTCCATCTGTAAAATGGGAATAATAGTCATACTTAAAGCCCTTTAAAGTTGTTGGGAGGGATGAGTTAATATGTAAGAAGAGCTTTCTATAGTGTCTGGAATAAAGTACTATAAAATAAGTGTTCACCCTTATTAGTTGAAGTAAATTTAAAAAAAAAACTGATGTTTTAATAATTTGAGAAAAAGACACAGAATGATATTAGACTGTCTTGGTATTGGTAGATAGTGTAATGTCATCTAGTTTTCATTGACTTTTTGAATAACTTTGATAAACTTTTTAAAAGGCACCATTTTCCCCGATTATAAAACAATAAAAAAATCAAAGAATACTCAGAAGTATAGAAGAAGACAACTAGCATCTGCTAGAAGCCCCTGCCAGCAGTGTTTCCGTGTAAGCGCTCTGGTGTGTACACACGCGCACATTAGGCGTTCAGACACACGCCATATATTAACATATGCTGTTCAGACTCATGCTTAACGGCTTTGTTATCTTCCGTCAAATGGCTATCCTTTATCGTTGGGTGTTTAGGTTGCTGCCAGCTTTTCTCTGTTAAAAACCATCTTTGGCCCAACACAGTTGGTGGACTCTCTTGACCAGGTCTAGATAGTGTGAGGTCAGGTGGAGACCTCTGGTCGCCGTCTCCTCCTGACCTCTAACCCTGTCACCCACAATGCACCAGGTCTGATTGGCAGCTGCACCAACTCCAGTTATGAGGACATGGGGCGCTCTGCAGCGGTGGCCAAACAAGCGCTGGCCCATGGGCTCAAGTGCAAGTCCCAGTTCACCATCACACCAGGCTCTGAGCAGATCCGCGCCACCATCGAGCGGGACGGCTACGTGAGTGCCCGTGTGTCCTGCCCCCGGCTCCCCTGCATCCCACTGAGTACCGTGACTTCAGGGTGGGACGAGCCACAGCCTTATCAGCCCCAGGGCTGGAATAGTACCAGCAGCTGCCCTGGGTTCCAGTGCAGCTCGCTGCTGAGTCACCCTTTCCCATTAGCCACTTGCAGACCATTGTGTCCTCTCCTCTCCCTGCAGGCACAGATCCTGCGGGACGTGGGCGGCATCGTTCTGGCCAACGCCTGTGGCCCCTGCATTGGCCAGTGGGACCGGTGAGGGATAATCCCACTTGGTGTGGAGCCGCAGATGTTGGGGGCGACGTTACTGGGGTGGAGAGAAGAGACTCAAGCCCAAGGCCTCTAGTTTCAGGGGCTAGCGCACATTTGAAGATTTTCCCAGGCATAACTTGAAAGTCGGGCTGGAAGGAAAGGGGAAGAGCCCTGGAGAGGCCCTGAGTGGCCACATGGCCTGGACTGGCAGGAGGAAAGCCAGAGAGCCACATCCAAGTGGACAGCCAGGGGCTTGATGGGCCCTCTGAAAGGAGGCGGCTTGCGGGGTGGAGGGAGCACCTGTTCAGGAGCCTTGGCCTGGGTTGGGGCTTGCCGCTGCCTGGTCTCAAGCCTGCCTGAGGGTCCCCCCTGCTCTGTATTTGAGTCCCAGGGAGGAGGCTATTTCTTCAGGGTCCTTCCATTTCTCCTCCTGTCATGAGCTAGGCATGTGCTGCAGGAACCCAGCCTATCTGGCCTCAGGAGGGGACAGTGGTAAGGCCAGACATCACTAACCCTGTCCTCTCTGACCTGGCAGAAAAGACATCAAGAAGGGGGAGAAGAACACCATCGTCACCTCCTACAACAGGAACTTCACAGGCCGCAATGATGCCAACCCCGAGACCCATGCCTTCGTCACGTCCCCAGAGGTGACACTCTGCACAGCCAGGCACTAGCCAGGGGCTGCCCCTCTGGGTCAGGGGAGGCAGAAGGAGATGGGGCTTGGGGCAAGTGCTTCTAACCCCATGGGCAGCTGAGGAGCGTGGGCGTCACAAGGCAAGGGGTTATCTGAGCATCGCGCTCCCTGGGCGCTTCCTGCCTGGTCTCTGCCATTGTGAGACGTTTCTTCAGTAGTTAGTGGTTCAGAGCATGGGCTCTGGGATCGCACCCTTCTCATGAACCTGACGGGGTCAGTGGGCACAGGGAAGTGAAGTGACTTGGCCAAAGCTCATCAGCTATCTAGAGGAGGGCTGGGATTTATCCCAGGTGGTGAGAGTCTAGAGCCCATTGAAAGTTCTTGTTGTCGTTGTGGTGACTGTCGAACAAGCATGAGTCGGGGTCCCACCGTAGCCACTGTCAGCATGTAGCTGCTCTTTCTTGGCTTGGTCTTTTCAACGAGTGTTTGCTGAATGGCTGTTCCTGTGTGCTCAGTGTGCTGCCCACCTGGGGGCATTTCTGCTCCTGTACCATTTGTGTGCCCGTGTGCTCAGGATGCTGGGCCTCTCCCAGTCCAGGGGTCCCACTTGTCTCTGCCGTGCTCTGGTCCCTGCTCCTCAGGAGAGCCTGTGGCCCAAGGCCCCCAGCGGGAAGGGCCAGAGGCCAGAATTGCTGTGGGCTTCCTGAGTCCTGCACAGGCCCAAAGGCCTGTAGACCCACGGATGTTCCTGCAGCTCCAGCCTCTGAGAAGACGGCTCTGAGAGACTTGAGAGTGTCCTGAGCCCCATTCTCAGTGTTTGTCTAGGCTTCTGCTGGGTGGGGCACAGGAGCGGTGTTTGGGGCTGACCAGCAAACCGGCCACTCCGTTTCAGATTGTCACAGCCCTGGCCATTGCCGGCACTCTCAAATTCAACCCAGAAACTGACTTCCTGACAGGCAAGGATGGCACGAAGTTCAAGCTGGAGGCCCCGGAAGCAGATGAGCTTCCCCGCGCGGTGAGCAGGCGCTGCCGCCCTCTGCTGGTGGCCGCTGCGAGTGCTTGGTGCTCCTTGCGCCAAAGCACTTCTTCCCACCATCTTGCTCACCCCTTGTGCAGGAGGGGTGGCGTCGCTAAGTGAGAATGAGGCAGCTCTGTCGACTTGGGAAGGAAAGGCTTTGGGGCACAGGGGAGCTTGCCCGAGAAAGGGGGCTAAGGATCCAGTGCCCAATAGTCCTTGTCCCCTGCTGCAGGAGTTTGACCCTGGGCAGGACACCTACCAGCACCCCCCCAAGGACAGCAGTGGACAGCGGGTGGACGTGAGCCCCACCAGCCAGCGCCTGCAGCTCCTGGAGCCTTTTGACAAGTGGGATGGTAAAGACCTGGAGGACCTGCAGATCCTTATCAAGGTCAGCTGTGCAGGGGCAGGAGGACAGCCCCCACCTGCCAGGGCTCCCAGCTCCCTGAGCATCAGCAGGGCTGTGAACTGCTGTTCCCTTCTAGAAGGAGGAGGGGAAAAGATGGAGGGCAGGAGTGGAGGTTTGGCTGCAGAGGAGAGAAGGCATTGCAGCCCAGTGTTCCAGGTCCTTCTCCATAGCCCCAGGCTGGGCAGAGCTGTCTCTGGCCAGCCAGAGTCTAGGGCTCTCGGCCTTCCGGCAGCAGCTGGTGAGAGCCACCTCAGTGGGGTGGGCAGGTCAGCACACCACAGGCAGGACAAGAAGGGCAGGTGTGACCCCTGCACAGCGGGCTCCAGGAGCCATTGATTGTCCTATTGTTACAGTTAGGCATTAGTGGGTGTGGCCTGTTTGGGAGCCAAGCAGACACCAACCATTATGGTGTGGCCAGTGGCTTCAGAGCCACTTCAGACATCAATGCATGCTGTTTACAAAGGGGTCTCCAGGCACGCCTGTGAGCCAGTACTGTGCCCACACGGCAGAGACTACGGTGCCTACTGGTGATGCAGACATGTCCCTGGCTCCTGTGTGTCTGCCATGGGGTCTGTGGCTGGCCTTCTAGCCTGGACATCTCTGAGCTGGGGGCCAAGCCCTACAGGGTGAGCAAGTGAGCACTGGCTGTCTCCCCAACCAGCCTGTGCCCCCGCTGAGCTCCCTGTCCATGAGGGAGCACCCCTTCCCATGAGGGAGCACCCCATCCTGCAGATCTCATGGAGCAGCTTAGGCCTTGAGGGGATGGGTGATGGCCTGCCTGAGCAGCAAGGCAGGGCTGCTTCTCGTCACCCTGCTGGGTCTTAGGCTCTGGGGCCTGCTGCCCGCCTCTAGAGGGCTTCTCCTTTCATCTGCCACTCAAGGCCAAGCCTTGACCTCTGTCTTCTCTGCTCACCCCCCACAAGGTCAAAGGGAAGTGCACCACTGACCACATCTCAGCTGCTGGCCCCTGGCTCAAGTTCCGTGGGCACTTGGACAACATCTCCAACAACCTGCTCATTGGTGCCATCAACGTCGAAAATGGCAAGGCCAACTCTGTGCGCAACGCCATCACCCAGGAGTTCGGCCCTGTCCCTGACACTGCCCGCTACTACAAGGTGGGCATAGGTGGTGAGGGCAGTGCTGGGCGGCCACTCTCCAAAGGGCCTGGAGGGCAGGCACAGGGAGGGCGAGCTGAGCCGGGGGAGGCCAGCCAGCCCTGGCGGGGGATGGTCATCAGAAGGGTAATGCTGTCTGCTCCTCCCCTGTGCACTGCCTCAGAGCTGGCCTCTAGGCCTTGTTGGCAGGTGAAGGAACAAAGGCCCAGCTCAGGTAGGGTGCAGCCTGGTCCCTGCTCTCTTGCTGGACCATGAACAAGGGAGGCCCTGCCAGGAGGTTTCGTGAGAGGAGCCCCACACCTGAGAAGAGGGTTGGAGGAGACCCTGCGAAGAGGGAGAAGTCAGACGCAAGCTGAGGCTCAGAGAGGGAAAGGGGCCACACAAGGCCTTGCAACAAACATGCAGACAGTCCACGGGCCAGTAGGGCCCAGGGCCCAGAGGGAGTCTGCTCTGCCTCTGCAGGGGACACTGAGGCCGCCAGCATCCCAGGCTGTTGGACTTTCTGTCTTGAGAAACAGAACCTGGGCTGAACCCAAGACCTGGCCCAGCAGGGTCCTCTGACACCTCGTGGCAGCTGTTTGGGGCAGAGGGGTGCACCAGGGCAGGGCACTCTCCACCCAGGAGCCCACCTGGAGCTCTTCAGTTAAGAAGCTCCAGTGCTGGGGGCAGTCCCACGGCTGTCGGGAAGTCCCTTTCCTGGAACTGCCCAAGCTGGAGGGCCTCTCCCCATCCATGCTTTGGCTCAAACGCTTACCTCCGTGTGAAATGCATTTTCGGCCCCTCTGCCCCTCAGCGCATCCCAGCGCTTCCCTGGGGTGACACCCCACCCGCCGCACACCCCCGACTACCTCTATGCTGAGCTCCATGGGTGGGTTCCATCTCCTCATGCCCACTGTGGCAGGGCTGTGCCTGATTGGGACACCCATTTCACCTGCCCTTGGAGAGCAGGTGAGGGAAGCCTCAGGGTGCCCCCTCTCCCCAGTAACTTCACACCTGCTTGCCCGGCAGAAACATGGCATCAAGTGGGTGGTGATTGGAGATGAGAACTACGGTGAGGGCTCCAGCCGGGAGCACGCGGCACTGGAGCCTCGTCACCTCGGGGGCCGGGCCATCATCACCAAGAGCTTCGCCAGGATCCATGGTGAGCTGAGCCGGGCCTGCCCATTGCTCTCCTCCCTATTCACAGCCCAGGATCTCCTGGCCTGAGTGGCCCCGGTGGGCCTGGAGCTGTGTGCTTGGCTCCCAGGCTTTGTCCACTGCTTGTGCGTCCCCCACACCCTGCTCAGGTTTGCCTGAGTAAGTCCCATATGCTCACCACTCCCCACCTTGGACAAGCACTGGTCTGTCCTCTAGACCTGCAGACCCAAGCAGTTGAACCCCAGGCACCTGGTCTGACTGTAACTGGGCCTTATTACAAGGAAGGCCTCCCTGAGAGTCACCAGCACACATTTGTTCACATCGCCGTTATGGGGAGAGGGCCCACCTGGGCCTCGTACCTCCCCGCCTGGCTTCTCCCAGAGCCCCACTGATTCAGAGCAGGAAGCTCTCTGGCTTGGGGTAAGGGCCCTGGCCCTGACCGAGTGTGTCCTCTGCTTTCCAGAAACCAACCTGAAGAAGCAGGGCCTGCTGCCCCTCACCTTTGCTGACCCAGCTGACTACAACAAGATCCACCCTGTGGACAAGCTGACAATCCAGGGCCTGAAGGACTTTGCCCCTGGCAAGGTCGGGGAAGGAGGGCTGGAGGGTGGGCAGGTCAGGCTATCCCCCGGCCCCCAGGCCCTCCTGAGGGGGTAGGTAGGGAGCAGCCACCTTCCTCCCTTCCTTCAGCCTGACCCCTACTTTGTGACTTCCCTTTGCCAGGAAGTCTCCAGGCAACCCCCCAGAGAAGGGAAGGATGAGCCAGTTACTCATGGAGGGTGGGGGCAACCAGGCCCTCCTCTGCCCACACATTGGCGTGGCCTGGCACTCAGGGCCAACAGTCCATTCCCAGCATGGCCCTCTTGGTCCCAGGACTCTCCCTCGGGTGCCCCTGACCCTCCAGCAGACCCACCCACACCTGCCTCCCTGCCTTGCAGCCCCTCAAATGCATCATCAAGCACCCCAATGGCACCCAGGAGATCATCCTCCTGAACCACACCTTCAATGAGACCCAGATCGAGTGGTTCCGGGCCGGCAGCGCACTGAACAGGATGAAGGAGCTGCAGCACTGAGACCCGCTGCCCAGCCACTTCACCCACTGCCTGACTGCCTGCTGCCTTGGACCCAGCTCAGCATCGTTTATAAGTGCAGCCCGTGTGCTCTATCAGAACCAGACTGGAGCCGGGCCAGCCACAGTGTCCTGCCCCAGACAGTGTGGTCAGACACTCCTGCCCTCCCCTCCTCAGCCCACTGAGTGACCATGGGTGGTTCTCAAACCACCCTGCCTTCCCGGTTCTAGTTTGGTTCCAGTCTTAAGCAGTTCTGTGCACTCTATTTATTTTTTATGACAAGACACCCATCTAAAGAAGTTTTTCTCCTGCCTGATCATTTCACTGGTGGCTGAAGGATTTGAGAGAACCTTTTATTCTTGCAAGGAAAATAAGAACCACAGTTCAGTGACTGCTACTGTGTGCGCTTGGTATCTGGGCTGTTATTGGCGCCAGGGTCCGGGAGGGTCTTCTCAGCCAAGGGCAGCAGAGGCCCCGGCAGCACAGCCGCAGGTGGACACTGCAGCAGAGGAGACGGAGCCGCAGTAGAGAATGCCTCCCCATAACCCCATCCAGCCCCCTTTCAGTCCCATCTCCCTCCCCTAACCCACCTCCACCCACAGGGCAGCTCCCCTCCCCATCTGGGGTTCCTGTACTTCCTTGGCTGGGCCCAGTGGAGTCTTCCAGAAGGCAGGCCTTTGCCCTCCTCTGCAGGTAGAACCACAGCCCCCCATGGTGCTGCGGCCTAACTCCTGCACCAGACCACCCCCTGCCTCCCCGAGCACCAACATGTCAGGCAGTGTCCCACCTAGCCCTCTGAATACTCAAAGGTAGGCAAGGCATGGAGGGTGGTAGCACATGATGTGTCCTGTCCCACGCCTCTTCAGCCCGGGTAGAAGGTGACAGAGAACAGTGCTGTTCCACAGCTGCTGCTCTTTCCCAGGGTGACGCCCGCTGACACTACTCAGCACCTCCACATGCTGCTGCCTGGTGTGGGCCTGAAAGGAGGCAGGCCCCATGGACACAGTGTGACCAGGAAAAGACTTACTACAAAATGGGCATCCTGGTCCCAGCAGAAGTGGGTGAAAGAGCTGGAAGAACCTGGCCAGGCCACTCCGCTGAACAAACAGTATGGCGCTTGCCCTGGTACCAGGATCTGTGGTGGCACCAGCAGACCCACAGGGCCTTCCTGGCAGGAGCTGAGCTGGGAGTGCTGGCTGGCCCCAGGCCTCCTGCTGGACCGCTGGTGTGGCGGGAGAGAGAGAACAAGCGTGGTCACTGCCCCTTCACCCTAGGCCAGTACACCTCACAGCCTCCACGATCTTGATGAGGGGCTGGGTTGGCTGAGGTCAGGGGCTACCCCCGCCCCACCCCAAATGCTGTGGGGAGGTGAGTGTTCCCTCCTAACGGCCAGACTCTCATCCAGGGCCAGAAGCAGCTCAGCCAGCCCCACCCTCCATGTGACTTCATGTAAGCACCAAAGTGGACCAGCCCAAAGCCCAGTCTGAGGCAGTCCAGGGCCCTCGCTAACCCCAGGCCCTCCAGCCTTTCTTTGGAGGGTGGCGGGGTTCATAGCCAAAAATGATTTGGGGACACACTGTCCCAGCTGCAGCAACTCAATGACCTTAGATCATGACACTGGCCGTTGGTAGAGATGGGTGGCCCTTTCCCACTAACATAGCCATTGTTTATTAAATGTCTTTGCTGTCACTGAAAGTCAGAAGTCCATGGGGGGCGGTGAAGCACTTCAGGCAGTGAAACTCTGGAGGCAGTTCCTGGAAGAGCAGGGCCAGGAAGCCAGAGGCCAAGCTACACGCACTCCAGCCCCACCTCCAGCTCCATGGCGGGGGTGAAAGCTCCACCTGGCATCTTCCTCAGCTGCTGCTTGTCTTCACGGCCAGCTATGTACCACCTTCCTGAGGGTAGGGTGGGGCTGCTGCACTGGCAGGAACTGCAGTCGAGCCCAGGGCTAGTTACTGGTCCACCAGGAAAGAAGGCCCAGGCCTGGCTCACTGATGGACCCCTGCCGGGTGGAAAGAGGACAGGCACCCTTCACCCACAGGCAGGGCTGGAACGACACAGGAAGGGGCAGAGGGGAGAGTGGGCGATGACAGCACTGAGGGAGCCCAGGAGCCACACCACTGCTCCCCACTGGCACAACTGGAGCACAGAGAACCCTCGCGTCTCCCACCCCAACCTCTATTGAGGCCTATGAGGAGGTGCGGCTTTACGGGTGGCCTAGCCCTGGGTCCCGAGGCCTCAGTCGGGTAAGGTACCCTTCCCCACCCTTTGGTACCCCAGCAGGCCAGTCTCCAGGCAAGCCACCAGGGTCTAGTCCTGCCAGAAAGGCCCAGTGACAACGAGGCCCAGCCACCAAACAAGCACAGGGGATGCACTGGCCACCCAGATTTCTGACAAAGACACAATGGCCTTCCCAGAACAACCCCAGGACCCAGTACGCCAGAAAGCCCTACCAGCCCTGGCCCCTGGAATCCCCCTTTCCTCATCTGTCGCTAACCAGCTTCATGGGGGTAAAAGGTAAAATGAACCCCAGCCAGATGTTGGCTGAGGGGCTCCATCCAGCACCGCTGGCCAAGAGTGGCCCCTTCCTCAGGCCGCGGCTGTCTTCTCGGGTAGGAGTAGCGGGTGGAAGCAGCTCTGAGGTTCGCTCACCCCTGCAGCCTTCCCTGCTGGGCTTTAGCCCTCTCCCCAGCCCCTTCCCGGTTTCTTCCTGCCTCAGAACCCACTTATCAATGGCCTTGCCATCCAGTTCCGGCTCTATGCTAGCCTGCAGGCAGGGTTCTGACTCTCGCCCACTCCCACAACAGCAGTGGCGGCTTTACCACAGGATGAGGCCTCACAGCAGGGACCTGACTCGGGATCACAAGCCGGGCCTAAAGGAACTGAGGCTCACAGGAGAAGCGGGCGCCTAACTAAGAGCACACCGCCAGGGATGGGACCCTGACCTGCTGGGGGAGGGCTCTGGAACCCCATGTCTACACTCCCAGCCCCTGCCACCCACTACACAGCTCCCTGCTGCTTCCAGCAACATCAGGACATCTCACCACCAGTGTGTATGGCGCCTCCTTCCTGGGCAGCTCCTCACTGGAAGACGTGGCCTCGGCTGAGCTAGGACCAGTGGGGGACGTGTCCACAAAGCTCTCGTCTACCACCCGGAACCGGATCTCCTCGCTGGTGTCCATGTACAGGTCGTGTGCACCTTCCTCCGTCTCGTACTCCCACACCCACACCTGCTCTGCTTCATCGCTGGCAGGGCCCAGAGTTAAGGCAACAATCAAGCCATTGGGGAGTCCTTATGGGGCTTGTGGGGGGCCCTCGTGCTATCTGGGAGCACTGGTGTGGCTTCTGGGTTCCCTCAGAGCATCCACTACACCTCCCCCAGGATAAACCAACCCCAGGTTTATATCACTTTGGCTGGGAAGTTCCAGAAAAAAGCAGGCCCCAGCCCCGTGTGTGAAAACAAGAACGAAGCCTGGGCCAGGCCTGTGGCCTTTGCAAGGAGCAGGAGGTCAGGGGCCAGGGACACACACCCTTGGCACAGTGGAGAAAGAAGGAGGTCAGAACTTGAGACCCACCTCTCGGAATGGGGAATGACCCCATGCCTGCCGCCCCAGTGCCCAGAGTCCACTCCTTGCCCTCAGGGTCTGCTCCCTGCCAGGTCTGATGCAAAGCCCACACATCCCCTCAGAGACCAACTGCTAAGCCCAGACCTCGTCCACCACTCACCAGCCTTGTTATTGGGGACAAAGAAGGCCCCACCTCTCTGTGCCTCAGTGTCCCCATCTGGAAAAGAGGGATTGCAACAAGACCTACCAAGGACTAAGTAAAAATACCGTGCTTTCTACAGGACCCAGCATGCAATCAGGCCTCACGTTGGCTGATGCTTTCTTCACATTTTCTGCGCGGTACAGCTCCACACCCCTTATGCCTTATCCCGTCCAATCTGCATGACCATCCCACGTGGCAGGCAGCAGCACAGGGATTTTGCCAGTTCTCACCCAGGACATGGTGGGATGGGGTTCACTGGCCTGAGAGTGAAGAGACTGGCCCAGGTCACACACAGACCCTGCCCCTGGCCCAGGGTCCCACACAGACCCTGCCCCGGGCCTGTAAAGGCCCAGCCAAAACTCCCCGCCACCCCCCAGTCCCTCAACAATCCCACACCAAGGAGCCGTGCTGCCCTCTGGTGGCCGTTCCACTAGTGGAATCCTGTTGGTTCTGGATGGACAGCTGCCCCAGAGGCTTCAGTTCACACAGCCTCTCTTCTGTGCCAGGCTGGGCACAGCAGGTACAGTTGTGACAAGATGGGGTCCCTCCCAGTGACAGACCCACCGGAACCCCAGAGCAGCAAGGTGGGGTGGTGGAGACAATAGGGGAGCCCAGGAGAAGGACAGAGCCCAGCCCAGGGTGGCTGGGAGTGGGCAAGTCAGGCAAAGCTCCCGGGAGTGATCTTTAAGGAGGTGGGAAGACACAGCAGGAAGGGGCAGAGTCCCACGGCCCCATGGCCCCAAGGCCGTGCACAATCCACGCCACCACGCCCGACTGCCCTGACAGATGCAGACCTGTGGGCACTGTGGTCAGTGTGGGAGGCACAGGCAGGCCAGTGCTTCTAGGACAAAAGTGCAGGCCAGAGGGGTGGGCACAGAGGCCAGCGGCATCGGATCACACTACCAAGGGCCACCCCAAGGAGAGGCCTGAATGCCTCGTGACCCCTTTAACCTTGGGAGGATACAACTTGGCCGGCTGCTGCAGCGACTCTGGGGGGATGAGAATGTCATCGAAGAAGCCAAGAGAGACTGAAGAGAGGAAGAAGGGGATGCCTGGGGCAGGGCTGGTGATGGACAGTCACACACAGAGAGGCCTGGTACTCAGCAGGCCAGACCGTGTCCTATGCTGCCCACAGGGCAGGTGTCATTACCAAGGGACTCTGGGCCCTACCCCACCCCGGCCCCGTGGCCTCTGCCCATGCCACTCACAGCCCTGAGCGAAGCCCAGTGTTGGTCACCAAAACTTGAGGTGGACACTGCACACAACAGGGACCTGTGGACACTGAGGACCCCAAGTCACTGCCGCCAGCTTCATGCCCACCCTGAGGTCCTGAGTTATGACCTCACGGTGACACTGCACAGCTGGCTGAGGTCCTCACTCCATAAACCAAGGAGAGAACTTGCCCACGAGGAGTAAGCTTCTCTGACAGCATGGGGAAGATTCCAGTCTGTATGTGACCCCAGCCCCTAGAGGGAGGCCCACCGCCCACCTGACATGCTCCGAGTCTTGGCTGAGGAGTCAGGGCTGCCTTACCATGCACGCCCTCTGGGCTGCAGCCTTTAATCTTCCCAATCAGAATCTCATCCAGGAACGGGTGGAACACAACATAGCGAAAATGGACTGGAAAAGAAGAGAACACATCAGCAACGGGCAGGCGCCAAGAAAGGCCACTCCTGCTTCCTGCTGCCAACCCTCCTTGCCAGCACTGCTGACCAAGGCTGACTGGGCTGCTGAGACCCTGCCCAGCGTCCACTCCCAGAGTCCCCTGTGGGCCCAGAGCAGTCGGCTGAGCCCCCAGACCCTAACCCATCCCCTAGAGGCCATAGCTCAGCCCCAGAACGAGGGCTGGTTCTCAAGTCTGCCACCAGCTTCATGCCCACCACTCAGACCCCAATTCTGGGCCATCAAACTCCCAACAATTCCAATCTTCCTCCAGGCTCTCCTTTAAATTCTAGAGCAGGCAGAAGCAACTGCAAAAGGGAGCCAGGTTTGGAGTCGAGTTTCCTGGCTCCTGCTGATGGGCAGTCTGCCCAGGCTGAGCATGGACCTGGAACAAGAAGCTAGAAGTGCCCTGAAATTAACGGGGGCAGGAAGAGGAGCAAAATGCTCCTGAGGGTTCTCCTCTCCCCTCACCTGACCCAAGGACCACACGTCCTGGACTCTGACTCCCAGGCTGGAGGAAGCCCCAAAGGGGCCGTCCCCACTGGACTGAGCCCCTCCAGGGACCAAGACTAACAAGGAAGATGCCCATCATTGTCCAACCTGTATCAGAGGTCGCAATACCACTGTGAGGATGAGGACACGGCCGGAAAGCCTGGGTAACCTGCTCACAGGTACACAGCTAGTACATGGCCTGTTCAGCCTTAGGGGCACCGCCATGTCTTTCTGTACCCACCAGGTGGGGCCACCATCCTGCCTTCCTGGCCACCTACCGAACAGGTTTAGTCCCCCAAACACAAGCTTCCGCCACCAGCACCCTCGGCAGCCTGGTCTGCCCGCATTAGCTGGCTCCCTGCTTCCCCGTGGTTCTGGCTGGCGCCCCCCCCACCCCCACCCTGTGAGGAGACAGGCAGGAGCCTTCCTGAAGAAGGCCCTTTGCCAGGAATCGAGCAAGCCTGGAGCCTCATGCTGGCCTCCCAGAGACAGGATGAGGGCAGCCTGGGGTCATTTATCCGGGATGGAAAAACCCATCCCTACGTGACTGTGTGCTTTAATAAATCCTTACTGCGCCTCTACCAGGTTTGTGCAGGGCACTGGGCTTAGAGCCGGGACAGCACCAAATCTTGTCCCCAGGGAGCCCCAGTCGGGAACCACATTCAAAATCGGGGCACAAAGACAGGAGTTCAAACAGGGCCCTAAGCCAGCCTGAGCTGGGGGGAGCGGAACAGGCCTAGAGGGGCTTCCCAGGGGAGGCCAGGTCCAGTGGCCTGGGACATGGGGCTGGCACCAGGTAAGAGTATTCAATCGGGCTCAGTGTCACAAATCATAAAAGGCCAACATTATGAATGCTTCCGATGTGCCAGGCGCTGGACCAAAGAGCTTACGTGGTTCTTCTCATTCGTGCCTCACACCGTTTTATGAGGTAGGTGCTATTGTTATTATTAGGCTGTTTTTGCACATGTGGAGACTGAGCCTCAGAGAGGTAAAGCGGCCTGTTCTGGGTCACTAAGGCCGTCGGCAGGTGACTACTCCTCAAACACAGGCCAAGGCGTGGTGTCACCTGGTGCCCTGAGACCCTCCTTTGGCACACGCTCAGCCACAAGCTGAGGCAGTGTGGGAGGGCAATAGGGAGGGGCCCCAGGGCCAGGGGCCATCCTCAAAGCATGGCCACTGCTCCCCGCCACAAAGTATCAACTCGCCCTGCATGGTGTTGGACAGGCTGAGACAAGCCTCACATTACAAGTGTGGTCCCCATTTTATGGATGAGGAAACTGAGGCAGAGCTGCCCAAGGTCCCCATGAGGGCAGACAGCGTCAGAACTGGCCACGGCACAGTCTGAGACCACTCGACGGTGTCTTTCTCTGTCAACAAAGGCCCTTGTGGGCTTTATTTTACATGGCAGTCTTAGTTTTGGGCTACTGAAATGGCTCCTAGTCTCTACAGAGATAGCTTGTTCTCCAGGGATGTCCGCAAAGCCCAATACCATCCACAGGAACAAACAAAGTCTCTGGATTCCTGGACAGAGGCCAGGCAGCCTCACAGCCCATTCTGGAATTGCTTGACATCTGTCCTGAAAGGCTGACCAGAATGGACTAGAGCAGGGGGCTCCTCGGGTTCCTCAGATGTGGGCTTGCGTAAAGATCACCAGGCACCTGGTTAAACAGTTGGGTCGTGGGGCACCTCCAGAGATTCTGATTCAGTAGGTCTGGGGCAGGCTGAGAATCTGCATTTCTAAGGAGTCCCCAGACCCTGAAATGTATCCACGGGCCCTCTGGCCTTCTACTTCTGCCTTGGTTCCATCCAGGAAGGAGAGTGAAGAATGCCCGACTCCTTGCTGAGGGTACCACGTCCCTTGATGTCCCAGTGATGTTGGTCACAGCTCCTCTCCTTCCAGGTTCTGGTTGTCACCCCCTCCCAGCCCCAGACGCACACCCCTTTCCCATGTGACCTTGCAGTTCCTCACATGGTGGGGTCTCTGATTCCATCCCCAGACTCTGGCCTCAGCCATGTGACTTGCTTTGACCAATGAGACGTAAGCATATGTGACATAACCAGAGGCCTGAAGAGCACCTGGGCCCTGGGCTCCCGCTCTGCTGCACTTTGGAACCCTGAGCCTGCCATGTGACGAGGCCAGTCTAGCCTCCTGGAGAGCACGTGAGCCCAGCTGAGGCCCCCTGCCCAACCACAAGAGAGTGAGGCCAACCCAGATCATCCAGCCCCAGCCCAGCCAGCCCCGGAGGACCCAGCCAGCTGACTCCCAGAATTGGGAGAACAAAGTTTGTTGTTTTAAGCCACTAAGTGTTGGGGTCATAGGTAGCAAAAGCTAACTGATATAGAAAACAGCAAGGGAAAGAAAAGAGCTCAAGAAAATTCAAATCACTGAGCCCTGGAGCACTTGCTACGTGCCAAGGCTCTATCCTAACTAGCTTCACACGTACTCACTCGTTAACCGTCACAGCCGTCCTATGGTAGGAAAGCTTCCGTTGACTGCATTTTGGAATCACTGGGTGGTGCAAACAGTTAACGCGCTCAGCTGCTAACAAAGGTTGGAGGTTTGAGTCCACCCAGAGGTGCCTCGGAAGAAAGGCTTAGAGATCTGCTTCCAAAAATTCAGCCATTGAAAACCCTATGGAGCACAGTTCTACTCTGACACACATGGGGTCACTGTGCATCAGAACTGCCTCGATGTACCCTACAGGGCAGTTCTACTCTGTCCTATAGGGTCACTATGAGTCAGAACTGACTGGACAATAATAGGTTTGTTTTGTTTTTTTTTTAACCCTGCTCAAGACACAGCTGATAAGTGACAGACAGAGATCTGAATCCAGAGGCCACACTTTTAACCATTATACCCCACTGCCCCTCAAAATCCCCCCACAGCCCCACCCATCCCCCTCCCCGGAGAAACAAATGCACTCCCCTCTGCTCTCCGCACTTCTAACCCAGCAATGGTCACACCATGTTGTCATCACCTGTCTGGCGGCCTGTCTCCCCCACCAGACAATGAGTACCCTGAGGGCCAGGCCCAAAGCAGGACTGTTATAGACAAGACCAAAGGGCGTGCAGACATGCAGCCATGATCCCAGAGCTAGAGGAGGCCCTGAGAACACCCTCAACCACCTCCCAGTTCTTACAGGTGAGGAAACCGAAGCCCAGAGAGGGGAAGAGTCTGCCCATCATCACCCAGTCAGCTCCCGACAGAGTCAGGACTAGGCCCCAGGTCTACCAGCCCCCAACCCAGGACTCGTGCCACCCTCAGCCATCTCTGGGGTGTCTACTCTTGCTACAGAAAACCAAGCCCCAAGAAACCCAATGCCCCGGGAAGAGGAAGCACCCACCTTTGGTGTGCGACGCACCATCCCCCGGGAACACATACGCATCCTCCAGCTTGGTGATATCGAACAGACAGATGCAGAGTCCCACGTTGTACACGACCTGCATGTGTATGTGCACACGTGTGTACACACACACGTGCACATCCACCCACCCACAGTGACCCAGTTCACGACCTGCGTGCATATGTGTACACAACACAGGTACACACACCATGTACACATGCATACCCCCCGACAGTGACCCAATCCCCCAGGCAGTCTCTCCTGAGACCCTCACATGACAAAAAACAAAACAAAACAAAACAAAACCTGTTGCCGTCGAGTTGATTCCAACTCATAGTGACCCTAGAGGACAGAGTAGACCTGCCCCATGGGGTTTCCAAGGAGTGGGTGATAGATTCGAACTGCTGACCTTTTAGTCAGCAGCCAAGTTCTTAACCACTACGCCACCAGGTCTCCCTAACACGACAGGGCAGGTATAATCATCTTCGTCTTACAGACAGAAATGAGTTGGGTTGCCTCTGAGGTAAATACAGGGAAGAAACCTCGGAAGGATGAGGGACTCTGGAAAGAGCAGGGCCTTTGGTGACAAGACCAGCTAGGTTACAATCCCAGCTCCACTACCACTGAGTGACCTTCATGGGGTCACTTCACCTCCCTGAGCCTCAGTTTCCCCAATTGCAAAAAAGGAACTACCAGGCTGCAGGCTATTAAATAAAGAGAGAGAATGGATGTGAAGCCCCTGTCCTAGAGCCTGACATACATGCTGGAAATAGTAATAACCAGTTAAGGATCACTGCAATTCCCTGTAAGGGTGCGTGGGTGGGTGGGTGTGCGTGTGGGGGGGTGTTCCTGGATAAGGCTACACATTCCAATGTCCCAAAGTCCATACTAGTCTCACAGCCCAGTGAGCATCAGAACTGCAGTTCATCTCCGTCCTGCCCGCAAAGCGTCAGACACACAAACACACGGATATGGCCACAGGGCTGAAGGCTGGTCCAGTGACACAGGACCAAGACCTGAGACTAGCAGAGAACAGGGTGAGGACTGAGCATCCCATATCCCCATCCCCACCCCATGTGCTCCGAACAGCTGGCTGCTCAGTGTCTGATCTGCCACCAGCGCCATCACTCCCCAATCAGAGACCTGGCAGGACTGATCCAGGATTAGCAAGAAGCTCAGAGATGCAGAGTTGTAGCCAGACCACACCACCATGAGGTCAGAGTCGGGCTGGCCTTGGCTGGGTCATGGAACCTCTCCCGTGTGGCCTCCTCTCAAATGACTCAAATCCAGAGAGACTTGTCTCTTGTCCCTCACCAACGCATTAAGGATCCGTGCCCCAAAGGGACTGCATTCCCTTCTGGGGCTTTTTTACACCTTCCCCACCCCCACAATGCCTGGTCCCCCCACATATCCCCTCACCTTTTAGTTCACAAAGTAAAGAGCAGCCATCCACTAAGGCCTCCATGAGTTCTCCCCACCACCTAAGATCCCCAACATCTGTACATCTCCCTGCTGTGACCTCAGCCTCCTATCTGATGCCAGCCAATCTTCCTCTTTCTGGTTCCTTTTCATCCCATCACCTCACTGCTCTAAGGTTGAAGCTGGGCCCTGCATGGCATGGCCTGACTCCCACTCACCTCTACAGCATCCCCTCTCCTCCGCTGCTCTGCCTCAGCCACACCAGCCTCCTCCCTGCCCTCTATATTTCCTCCTGCCACAGGGCCTTTGCAAATGCTGTTTCCTCTGCCTGCTCAGCTCTTCTTTCTGCCCAGTCCCCTCCAACCCCAAAAACAAATCCCCCAGTTAGCTCCTCCTCACCATCAGATCTCAGCTCAAGCGCTACCTCCCCAACAAAGCCACCTGTTCCCCCTCATTCCAGGTGAAGTTCCTTCATTCCACAGGCTTATAGATACATGTTCTTACCTTCATTCACCCCAACTGTCATCAAACACTTATCTATGGGACCCTTCCTTCATGTCTGCTTCTCCCACCAGACCACAGGGCAGAACCTTGCCTGTTCCATTCATTCAATCAACAGACAAGTATGGAACACCTACTCTGTCCCTGCCCTCATAGAGTAAGAAAGAGAAAAACAATAACCAAGTAAATAAACATACAAGAAAATAACAGTGTGGTTAGTGCTAAGGAGAGGGTGAGATGACAGAGAATAACCAAGGAGGGAGGGTTAGTACAGAAAAGGCCCTGGGAAGCCTCTGAGGAGCTGGTGCTAAGGCACTGCAGGCTTGGCACACAGAAGATGCACGGATATTTCTTGCAGAAATGAATGGATAAACCCCTGACCATTAACTCTATGTTACCAGAGCATCTGATCTTCACAAAAGCAATGTGGTAGGGCAGAAATTATTGCTCCCGTTTTAAAAATGGAAACTGAGGCCTCAAAAGGGTAAGTGACTTGTCCAATGTTGCACAGTAATTTGGAAGCTTGTAATCTAGCCATTCCCAGTTACAAAGCCCTTTTTCAAACCCGGTAAGGATTACCTCCATCCCCTTTTACAGATAAAGAAACTGAGGTTCTGGGACGTTAGGCTACTTGCCCAAGGCCAAGGTATGACCAAGCCCAGGCGCGCCCCGGGCCTTCCGTGCCAACGCCGGCCCACGACCCCGTGGGCCCAGTACCTTGTTGGCCAACTTCTTGTTCAGCTCCTCGGCGATGGAGTCGTTGAGCTTCCTCTCAAACTGCCACGGTGGGATTCGCACGGTGTCCACCATCTCCACCAGCACGAACATCCTGGCCTGCGCTGGGGGCTCTGGGAACGGGAGGGTTGGTCACGCGCCGGGGCGTGGGACCGGTGGGAGTCCCCGAGCCCCATCCGTGCTGCCCTAATCGCTGAGACACCCCCACCTCCAGGCCGGCGGTGGGGCTGCACGCTAGGGTCCGGGGATGCCCCGAGCGGGCCATACTCCGCTACTGCAATGGGAGGAAACAGGCCGAGCTGCGGAGACCCCATCCAGCGCTAGGAGTGCACCCCCGCCGCGCGCTTCCCGCCTCGGCCCCCAAGTTCCCGCTACGCGCAGCCGCCACGCACCGGGCTCCCACACGCAGCCGCCCAGGAGTCGCCGGGCTTTGGGCGAGGATCCGAATCCCGTCGGTTCCGGAGAGCGGGCCAATAAGAAGCTTCTGCCCGCCCCTCTACGCGAGGCGGGGCCGCCTTCAGGCTGCGTGCTCCGGAAGAGACCCGGAGGTGGGCGGGGCCTCCCCTTAGCTGGCCGGGAGCCGTCAAGCCCCAGGGCCGCGCTATCTGGTTGCTAGGCGACCTCTGTGCACTACGGGTCCCATCATCTTTTGCGTGGACTGTACCACCCTTCAAGCTGATCTCAAACCGTCCTCTGCACTGCAACCAGGAATCCTTTTAGAACGCAAACATAACGTGCTTAAAACCCTTCAGTACTCTGGGCACGGGTACAATTAATTGGAAAGCGCCACGAGGGATGTTTCTGGGATGATGATGTTCTGTATATTGTTTTGGGTGGTGGTTGTACAGATGCACACAATTGTCAGAACTCATCAGACTCAACACTGGAGATCTCTGCATTTCATTGTAGGCGCATTATATCTCAATCTAAAAGTGCTAATAAACGGGAATAAAAGCAACCTCGGTAGCTTCCCATTGAAGTAAGAGTCTTGCCCAGGCCACTCCTCCAGCCCCATCTGTTATCTCTCCCCTACTGTTCCAGTCTCATTCATCTTCACAATAATAGCTCACATGGTCTAAGAGAATTCAGTAACTTGTCCAAGATCTGGGTTGCTAGTAGCAGAGGTGTGCCTCAGTCTAAAGCTCTACACCACACTGTCTCTAAAAGTCGATAATACACAGATTGGTGGGGTGTGGAAAACGTAAAAAGATCCTTGGGGTGAATGATGGCCAATTTGCCCTGAAATGCCTGGTGCTTTAATTTGCTGATTTCACAGCAGAGAGGCTCTCTGACTAGGGGCCTGGATGCAGTGCTACCGAATTTGGCGTTCCCTGCTGTTACGAATTGAATTGTGTCCTCCAAAAATATGTGTTGCAAACCTTAACCTCTATACCTCTGGTTATAATCCCATTTAGGAGTGGGTTGTTCTGTTGTGTTAATGAGGCAGAATTAGTGTAGGGTGTGTTTTGAGTCAATCTCTTACAAAATATAAAAGATATGTAAAAGGAACAGATTATGCAGAGATGGGGAAAGACAGATGCCAAGTCACATGAAGATCACCCAGGAGCACAAGCTCAAAGAGACAAGGACCTTCCTCCAAAGGCGACAGAGAGAGAAAACCTTCCCCTAGAGTCCTGAATTTGAACATCTAGCCTCCTAAACTGTGAGAAAATAAATTTCTGTTTGTGAAAGCCACCCACTTGTGGTATTTGTTATAGCAGCACTAGATAACTAAGACCTGCACCAATTTTTATGTATAGATCTATCTGCCTCTGCTAGGATTTGAGCTACTTGAGAATAGGGGCAAATGTTACTTCAGCTCTTTATTCCCACGAGCCCCTAACATCATTCCTAGGAGGCATTCAGTAAAGGTGTTTAGATTAGTATCAATTCTTTCTCTTAAATATCTCTCAAATCCTCCCTCTTTATTCCATTCCCACTGCTGTAGCCTTGATTCAGGGCTTTTCATCCCTCCCCTGGAGCTTAGCCACATCCCCAACCTCCTGGTCTCAGTCTCTCCTGCTAGTGACCGCCACACCATCACAAAAGTCTTCCCGTCATGACTCTCCTTTGCCCAAATGAAAAGATCTGGACTGACCAGCCTCCCTCCAGCCTCACTTGCCACCTGTTCTCCAGGCAAAGGGAGCCTCTAGCCCCATGGATGGAGAGGTGCTTTTACAGCTCTGCCTTGAATACCTCTTCTTTACCTAGAAAACTTCTACTTATACATCAGAACCCAAATGTGATGCCTTTCCCACTCATCCATTCAACATACTGTGTGTGCCCAGCTGTTGGGAATCCAGTAGAGGGGAAGAAAAGCTTGGGCCCAGCTTCAGACTGTGGGGGGAGAGGGGAAGGGGAAAAAGGAAGAGAGAGAGAGAGTCTGGTGCTCTCAAGGAGCTAGAAGTCATTCAAGTGATTCACAAGTGAGATGAGAGCTGGTGAGCTAGGAGGCTGGAGACCTAGGCAGGGCCTAGATCTCAAGGGCCTTATCACATAATATTAACAGCTAATATTTACTGAGCACTTATTAGATGCCAAGCACTGTTCTAAGTGCTTTACCTGTATTAACCCACTTCATCCTTACACCACCCATATGAGATAGGGCCATTGTCATTATCCCATTCAACAGGGCAGGAATTAAAGGCAAAAAGAGGTTAAGTAGCTTGTTCATGGTCACACAGCTACTAAGTGGTAGAGTTGAGATTCAGGCTCCAGAGCCCACAATCCTAACCACTGGGCAGTGCTGCCATGGCATTATCCTGAGGATCTCAGTGGGAAGCCTAGAAGGTTAGAACAGGGAAATGACATGATGACACATCAGCTGAGTGCAGAGTGATGGGAGGGACTGGATTAGAGACAGGAAGTGCTGGGAGGAGGTTATTATGTGGTCTCCCAGCCAGAGAGGGCCTGAGGAAGGCTAGTGGCGTGGAGAGCTTAAAGCTGGGCAGAGTCCAGAGCTACTGGGGGGATGGAATGGCTGGTTTCAGCCAGGGAGTGGGTGACCTGGGGGGCAGGAGAGCAATGCCTGAGGGCTTTAGCCACTTTCACTGTGATGGGAAACTGGAAGAGGGCCAGGCTGGGGTGGGGGCCGCACTGCCTAGTCAATGTTTGCCTTCCCAGGCTTCTTTTCCACTCTTTGGCTCACAGGATTGCAACAATGATTTGTTGGCACAGTTGGTTTCCTCATTGGTAAAAACAGGGACTGGGCCTCTTTATGTATTCTCTGCCTCATTCCACCGAGGATTTGAGGTGGTTTATAAAAATACGCAAATGACTCAGCCTAGGAGCCCCAAGGCGGCCGAGGACTCCTCTGTCGCGTTCCCTTCATCTCCTCTGGGCCTAGTCCAATGCCTGGCACCTGGTCAGGGATTGCGAATGTGTGTTGTTTGAATGAATAAAAGGATAACAAAATAATTGCTAGGGGTGTAGGAGCAAGGGAGAAGTAAGAGTTGGAAACTAGTCAAGGCAGGAAGAGGAGGGGAGGAAAGTGGAGTGGTTAAGGGTGAGAGGCATGGAGTTCCCACCACACAGCTCATTAGCACGTCCTTGGCTTAGTCACTGGACCTCTCTGTAAAATGGAGATAATAATAGAACCAATTACAAAAGGGTCAATCAGTAGAGGACTGGGTGAAAAAAAAAACACATCATATAATGGAATACTATGAAGCCATAAAAAAGAATGAGACCGCTCTTTGTGTATTGATATAGAATGATGTTCAGGATATATCGTGAAGTGTAAAAATATAAGGTGCAGAACAATACGTATGGAATTTGTGTAAAAAAGGAATATATATATTCCGTATATGTGTCTCCACCACAGGTCTGTCAGTTTGTCGTACTGTGGTGGCTTGCATGTTACTATGATGCTGGAAGCTATGGCACCAATATTTCAAATATGAGCAGGGTCACCCATAGTGGACAGGTTTCAGCAGAGCTTCTAGACTAAGGCAAACTAGGAAGAAAGGCCTGGTGATCCACTTACAAAAACTAGCCAATGAAAACCTTATGAATCACAACAGAACATTGTCTGACTTACGTGCTTTGGACACGTCATCAGGAGGAATCAATTGCTAGGGGAGGACGTTATATTTGGTGAAGGTGAGGGCCAGTGAGAGTGTGGGAGACCCTTGGTGAGATGGACTGGCACAATAGCCACAACAATGAACTCGATCATCCTGGTAATTTTGAGAATGATGAGGATTGGGCAATGCTTCTCTCTGTTGTACACAAGGTTGTCATGAGCCAAAGTCAACTTGATGGCAGCTAACAACAGTAATAACACACACACACGCGCACACACACACGCGCGCGCGCGCGCGCACACACGTGCTGGTTTATGCATAAAATAGCTCTGAAAGGATACACAAGAAACTGATTCCATTGGTTGTCTCCAGGGAGAGGAAGTGAACAGGGAGGGGGAAAGAGAGGGGTGGGAGCAACAATTTTTTACCAAATACCCTTTAGAAACTTTGATGTTTGGAATCATGGGAACATATTACCTATTCAAAAAATGAGTAAAATTTAAATTAGAAAAGATGAGTGAAATTTAAATTTAAAAAGCAATTAAGATTTTTCACATCTAAAAAAAAAGAACTCCTTTGGCCCCCTTTCCCTCCGGCTACTGCCCCATTTTTCTGCTCCCTTTACCAACAAAACGGCTTGAAGGAGTTGTCTGTACTTGCTGTTCCCAATTCCTCTCTTTTCTTCCTCTCTTCAGCCTGCTCCAGTCAGGTTTTTGCTCTCACCACTCACTTGAAATCGCTTTCTCAAGGCCACCAATGGCCTCCGCATTGCCAAGTCTGATGGAATTCTCAGTCCTCCTCAGCAGAGTTTGTCACAGCTGCTTGCTCCCTCCTCCTTCAAATACTCTCTCTACTGGGCTTCCAGGATCCCAAGCTCATCGAAGTCCTCCTCCCACTGCACAGGCTGTTCCTTCTCAGTCTTGGTATGGATTGAATTGTGTTCCCCCAAAAAACTATGTTGAAGTCTTAACCCCCTGTACCTGTGAATGTGACCTTATTTGGAAATAGGGTCTTTGAAGATGTTATCAGTTAACATGAGGTCATTCTGGAGTAGGTAGGGTCCTAATCCTATATGACTGGTCTCCTTATAAAAAAGAAGATACACAGAGATAGGCACTCAGTGAGGAGAAGACCCTGTGAAGACAAAGGCAGAGATGGTAACAAT